ACTTGGAAGTAAAAAGAAAAATAAAGAGTTACAAAGTCGCAGCTTGCTGCAAAGATGAGAAAAGTTTTTTGACTTGAACCCCCTCTTCGTTGGTCTTGAGGGCAGCCATGACTCTTCCATCAATCGACCAAGCCGCTTCCACCTTTGGATGGGTCGCCAATTTCATCAGAATTTTGTGGTTAAGTGAAGTTAAGTCCTCCTGGATGGAGATACCTGACCCCTTCAGCTTGCGACGCTCCTTCATCAACTCTGCCTTCATTCTGTGCGAGGACAGCTTCACTAAAATTGGGCGGGGCTTGTCGTCGGTGCGGGGCTTCCCTGAACGGTGTGACCTGTCGATGTTGGCCTTGGTCATAGGACAGCTGAGATGCTCTGATACCACCTTAAGTACCAAGTCATCGGTACTCTCCTTAGATGTCTCCGGCACCCCAAACACCCGAACAGAGTTCCGCCGACTATATTGCTCTAAGTCGTTGGCTCGACTTGTTGCCAGGTAGGACAACAATATGGCTTGCCCTACCTAATCACACGTAATAATGCATTTTGCATTCTGACTATAGGAATACAATAATTATTCATTACAGGTGAATAATATATTTGTATTGAGGCCCTTTACAATGATGTATTCATTCATTTTGGTTACATTATGAAAATGTTCTATTAGAGAAGACACAGTACATTTGGATGTATATCAAATATACATGCAAATGACTGTACTGCGTCTTTTGATATTTGCCGGACAAAAGCAATAATTATAGCAAAGTGTATTTGTTTCAAGAACTTGTATAAAGTTTTTATTTTAATATTTAAAACTATTATTGCTTCTTCATTTCAACAAGGAAATAAGAAAAATGGATGAAGGCAAATGGAAATAAGTACGGTCTTTTTAAATACACTATGGGTTTCCATTTGTTAAGATGAACATGAAGTTTTCCTTTACGTAAAGCTGCAATATTATTTTCTCAAGGTAAAGCATATCTGCCTGAAAAAGACTAAAAATCAACATTTTATCAAATATTTGTTTTTCTGAATAAAGTATTTACCATAAAATATAACTGTGTTTACAGAAATTGTTTCCCGGTTGTACGCTTAAACAGATATCTGTTTAGAAAGTGGTAAAATAATTCCAAAATTTATTTACAATTATGCAGAAAAATAACATATGTATTAAATTCTGGTTATCCTTCTGGCAAAAATTACATTTAAATTCTCTGAATGTAAATTCAAATAACCCTTCCCATTTTCTTAAATGGTCTGTCTTTTTCCAAACTCAAGGATATTTTGTTCACACATACCAAATAACAACATGTAGTATAGGTTTCTTTTGGGATAAAAAAAAAATGTACTAAGTTTGTTATCTTCAAAGCTCGGATTATCAATCTCTTTGGATAAAAACTTTCTTCCAAGTTGACCTGATTGATTAAACAATAGCACTATAATTCATAAACTGAGTTAAATTCAGTTGAAAATCATGTTGAATTTCCGGAAAAATTGAAGCTATCATCTTCTTTCAAAATATCGTGTATGTATTTACCTCCTGAATCATACCATTTTCTATTGAATTTAACAGGACTTGTAGTACTTGTAATAAAAAACCGTAAGGTAAAATTCGATTTGTAAGCAACAAGAACGGTCGGCCTATTTAAAATTAATTAGTCGTGATAAAGGTTCCGATTTTGGTAATAAAGCATAAACGATGGCCGGTGTATAGGTTTTTGCTATTTAGCCTAACGTTCCAACTTTTATCATTTGAGAGAGTTTTAAATGTGTAAGCGTTTTGGTCTCTCTCTCTCTCTCTCTCTCTCTCTCTCTCTAGTTTAGCTCTCTCTCAATCTCAATCTCTCTCTATCTATATATTATATTTATCTCCCTCTCTCTCTCCTTCACTTTTCTCTCTCTTTCATTCTCAGTTCTAGATCGTAAATTGATCAAGTACTAGCTCAATGTCAAGTACACGCCTTAAGTGCTACCAGTAAAAACTTCAAAACCATATTTATCAGTCAATAAAGTCACTTATCACACGAAGGTCATGGATGCACCTACAAAAAAAAGCTTTGAGAATAGTAAAAGGTTATCTTCAGCGAAGATTAAAAAATAAGTCCTTCAGCGAAGATAAAGTCGATAGAACACACTACGATTCTGTTTTTTGTTGTCATAATTGTTGTTCGAAGTAGTAGTAGTAGCAGTGGCGAAATGAGCAATAACATGGGGGGGGGGGCTGACAAAAAATCTGCATCACCCAACTCTTACATGCAGGCCCCACTGAACGTTTTTCAAAGTGTGGTCTAGGGGCAAAGCCCTGGCGGGGGTCAAGGGGAGGAGCCCCGAAGCTCAAAGGGTATGGGCATCAGTGGCGGATACAGGAATTTCTTACCGGAGGGAGGGCACAAAATGGCATGGGGTGAAATATATGTAAAACGATGAAGCGACGGAGCGAGGCTTTAGCGGCGAGGGAGCGGAGCGACCAAGCGGGGTGGGTTTTAGGATTTTAGAACCACATTAGACGCATTTTCAGGCACTTCCTGGAGTAATATGACGTACAATTACTTTCTCCTACCCCCCTCCAAGAGTGGGGATCTTTTTCAATTTCAGAACCACATTTGGCGCATTAATGTCCACCGGCACTTCCTGGAAAAAATGGAGGCCTTCTAATTGGTTAGAAGTTAGAGAAAAGTGATCTGTCACGTCGTGAGACGTTGTATATGCTTCGTTGCTGCACAAAGACGGTGGTCCGGTACTTCACCAGCAGTACTTGCAAAACTTATCTCGAGTGTATGAACTGTGTTGTTATCAGGGGCGTCGCTAGACCCTTTTCAGTGGGGGGAGGGGGTGTATAGAGGCCACCAATTAACGACAAAACTATAGCCAACAATTACCGACAAAAATATTAATGCCAATGTCCCAATGTCTACAAATTTAACCCTATAAACCCGGGGCCAGCAACTAAGTTATTTTTCAGTTTTCCCCCCTCCCGCGGAAGCTTTGACACTTCATTAAATTATTAGAAAACAAGACGATCCGTTGTACCGTTCTTGACTCTTAAAGGTACTATGTCCCATTTGCAGGCCAAAAAAATGAAAAAGTTAAATTCCAACTGCATTTGAAAGATATTACTAATTTAGAACTTCCCTAAAAAAAGGTGGGGCTTGAAAATGTCTTCAAGTGGGAAAATAACGACTGTTAGTTGTCAAATCGACTTTAGGGCTATTGAGCCCAAAAGTAATAGTCTTGATTTTCAGACAATTGTACCGAATGGTCATACGTTTTATGCTGCGCAAAGATTCAATCAGTTTAATCTTGGACATCACAAGAAGTGGGTTATTGATGTAGACAAATGCTCATGTACCCTTTACAACTCTTTTCCTTTATGTTATTACCAAAGAAGAAAAAAAGCCAGTCAGTCACTCAATAGTGTCTGACAGTGACGTCTAGCAAGTAAACGGGTTTCCTTGCATAATTTGAATATGAGGACACTGCTAACGTTTAAATTTCACAGATAGGACATACATGACATATTCATAATTCCTGCAAAGTTCTACAATATTTTAGGTTGGCTGCAAAAGGGACATAATACCTTTAATTCTTGTTTCGCCCCTCCCACACGAAGTGCAGAAGCTATGACGTTTCTTTTAATTATTAGAGAAAGAAGGCGATTCATTGTACCGTTCTCGACTCTTAATCCTTGCTGAATTCAGTTTTTCCCCCCCCCCCCTCCCGTGCGAAGCGCGGAAGCTTTGACGTTTCAATAAATTATTACTCTTGATCCTTGTCTGAATTCATTTTTCGCCCATCCCGCGCGAAGCGCGGAAGCTTTCACGATTCATTAAATCATTAGAGAAAGAAGACGATTCGTTATATCGTATCCTTGTCTGAATTCAGTTTTCCCTTCTCATAGCGCGGAAACTTTCAGTTACTACTACTATACTACTACTACTACTACTACTACTACTACTATACTACTACTACTACTACTACTACTACTACTACTATACTACTACTACTACTACTACTACTACTACTACTACTACTATACTACTACTACTACTACTACTACTACTACTACTACTATTACCACTACTACTACTGCTACTACTACTACTACTACTTTTGTTTCTGCTGCTGCTGCTGATATATACTATCATTATTACTAGTACTACTGCTGATGACGGTTTTATACAAGTATTATGCGGCCAGACAAAGAGATTTTTAAAACTTTATATAGATATTAAATTATGATTAAAATATGCAAACTTCCTAAACATAATTGCACCTAGTTTGCCGTCGTTACAGTAAATATAATGGGGAAAATGCAATTCTGGATTTAAAAAAAATAGTAGAAATATGGCCTCGATCGATTTAAGCGATTGGTTAAAGGTCCTTTGCAGTAATTTCCAGTAGGCCTGTCTCCACACGGAATAGGGTAGTGAGCACATTTTTTTTTTTGCCCTCGAAAATTTGAAAAATCGCACCCCCCCCCCCTCCACCCTTGAGCGCCAGGGGGGGGGGGGGGGGGAGCCATCTCCATATAAAGGTAAAATTAACGTGTTTTTTTCCTGGGGGTCCCCCCCCCCCCCCCCCCCCCCCCCCCCTGGATCCACCACTGCGCCCCCATCCCAGAAGACGATTCGTTGTACCGTTCTCTACTTTTAATCCTTGTCTGAATTGAGTTTCCCAACTGGGTACATGTATTAGTATTATTACTATTACTAATCATTATTATTATCATTACTGTCATTATTGTTATTATGATTATTATTATAGTTATTATTAGTGTTCAATAAAATAAAAGACGGACAAAGAAGGAAAGTGAATGAGAGTAGAATGGAGGATTTGTTTTTGTTAACGCATTATTGCAGAAAAGCTGGTATGAGAATTAAAATTGGAACTACAGTCAACGTCAGAGAGAGAGAGAGAGGGGGGTATGAGATACGTGTATAATAATGTGTTTATGGAGAAAATAAACCTGTCTTTTTATCAATCAGCTGTGCCGCCCTCTCTTGTTTCATGGCAGTTTTCAAAATGGCGCGCTACAGGAACGAATGAATGAAATCAACATCCGATTACGACGCACGTGAGAATAACGCTACTCTACAAAAAAAAAGGTTTGAAAACTTAGCTTTAATCGTAGTGTAATTGTTAGATCTGTGTTTATTTATTTATTTTTTTTTCATTAATTATCAATCAAGAATGTAATGCCGTTTCTGAACGAAAGCGCTAGCGGAAGGCCTTCCCTGCGCGAGCCTAGCCTGGACTTGCAGCTAGCCTCGCCTTTGCCGTGGCGTCCCTATCGCTTCGTCTCGCTCGCTCTGCACAGCCCGGGCCGGGCTCGGGTCATGGTCAGCAGTTTAGGGGTTTGTGTATCATATTATATTTAGTGGGATTTACACAGAGAAAAACAATTAGGGTCTAGGACCCCCTAGTGAGATTTAAATATCAATTTTTCAATCATGATCTGAATCTCACTCTTTAGTCAAAAGTCCCTAGAGGCCTAGATCTATCATCTAGTCTAGATCTAGACTAGGCCCTAGGCCTAATACAAAAGTTAAAGAACGAAATCGCACAATGTGTAAACGATGAACAATGCAATGCATGTAAAACACAATGGACGAGGACTCACACATGCTAGTACATGGCGAACCGAAAATTAGCCTGGGAAGGTCCCAATTTGTTTGTGGAATTCAAAACAGCTTTGCGTTTATCATCTCTCAGAAATGTGATTCTGGCCCTACAATTGTAGGTCTAGACCTATGTCGCATTCAAAACACACTTTTTTCGGCATTTCAATATAGATCTACCTAGAGTAGAGTCTCCGGTTTGCGGCATCGCCCTGTTTGCGGCCAGGGGTATTTGTTTTAAAAATAAAATGAATATGACTCGATAATAATCATTGAAACCTACTGTGGATTCCACAGTAAGTTCTGCTTTGCCGAAAACCTCCGTAGCAGGTGCTCCTGTCGGTACGGAGTATCCGTCAGCGATGTCGGAAATCTACGGCACCAGTCGCCGATGAAAATTCCGGCAGGTGCTAACTTTTAAGTTAAGAGATCGAGGCATGACTAGATCAATATTGTAGCTCTATTTGTCCGATATTTGTCCGATTGGAGGTGAAATTTGATGTTTTTGTGGAAGTATGATGGCTGTGGTCTGTCTCCTATCGCAGATATTTTGATTGTGCCACCGCATGGCCAGTTGCATGGGGTGGCCGCAAACCGGCACGTAATTACGTGTTTTTCTGGTTTGCGGCGGGGGGTGTTAATACACACATAACATGCGGGATCGTGTATGATGGTATGTGTGCTGATGTGTGTACCTGCTATGACCCGATAGTTTCTAGTAGTACGTACCCCCGTATGGGATGATTCATTCGAGGAAAAGGTGAAATTGTTTACAACTTGACAAATTTACCGTAGCAACAGATAAACATGAGAATTTGGGTTACCCGTAGTAATTTGGTACATGCTTTCATCGTGACGTAGCGCATAAAGCTTTGTGACGTACGCGTGCCGCAAACCGGTACTGCGTGCCCGCAAACCGGGGAACTCGAAGCATTTCGAAACGTGGTCAATGCTGACCACGCTGTGGGTCAGTTAGGTTATTTGTGACTTCTATTTAATAAGTAAGTATATGGACTCTTTATTGAGGGTATTGAAGTATTCTGTGAGTATTCCAATAAAAATAGAATCGGCAGTTCCCGCCGATCGGCCGCAGACCGGAGCCACTACTCTATATCTAAAGACATTTGTCAAAGGCTTTGGGCTTATCACCTTAAAAATTTGCCTGAAAGATGTTTGAAAATTCTAGGCCAAAAATTGGACTATAAACACACCCTAAGTTACAGCAAAACATTGTCTACCCAGACCCAGGACTAACCATGCCAAGTTCATCCAAGAAAGAATAGGGACTTTAAGATTTACACGACGAGAACGCAGACTGCCCTTTTATGGCAATGTGACGTCACTACCAGTGCCTTAAAAGGACATCACATTACCTTAAAAGGGCAGTCCACGTTCTCCGTTGTGCAAATCTAAAAGTCCCTAGTAGCAAAGATGTCAAGGCGAAGAGTAGCCTCTGTCGAACTTACACATGATAACTTGGACCAATCAGTTTCATTGATTGTTAACTTAAAGCCCCACTGTCCTACTTGTAGCTACTTGCTCCCTCTATATAGAAAACTTCCCCAAGCGGTGCCATGATCCTCTTTTTTTTATATTAGTTGAGAGCTGAGTTAATGAGATAGCCACCTGTCAGTGACCTTGCTGTGTGGTCTAATCCCTTCTGGCCCAGTAGTATTGACGATCTTTAAGTGTTAATGTTCCTTTTCTTTTGATGTTTTTTTGTCTTTGAAGGACGGACAGGTCTAGAGTCGACTTACTTACAGGGAATACAGCACATCTATCAACACCAAGTACACCCACGAGGGCAACAGCAAAGATGTCAAAGCGAAGAGCAGGAATGGAGCTTACCCACGACAATTGGGACCAAGAGGAGGAGGAGGCAGAGGAAGTGAGTGTTTTATTTTTTAGGGGTGGGTTAATTTGTAGGTTCGCTTGTTAACATGTACATGTAAGTGAGGTGCAGGAGAAGTGAAGAAGAAATGAAGGAGGAGGAGGAGGAGGAGGAGGAGGAGGAGGAGGAGGAGGAGGAGGAGGAGGAGGAGGAGGAGGAAAAGGAGAAGGAGAGAGAGAGAGAGAGAATGAGAGAGAGAGAGAGAGAGAGAGGGGGGGGGGGGGGAGAGAGAGAGAGAGGGGGGGGGGGGGGGGGGGGAAGGGGAATAGATAGCTGTAACCATGACTTGTAAGGAGGGGGAATTGTCATGCAGAGTTCACACAGACTAGACATTATGCATTCATTTCCATGAATGCAGATGAACTCCACAGATGTATTTCAATTCTAGAAATGCCTCTTCATCAGTTGTTAGTTCTAGCAAGGCTTTTTAGCATGACAGAGGCTTGCTGTCATAGCAACAGCTATCCAGTCTGCATCAGGGTTGTTTGATTTAAATCATGTCGATTTAAATCATGATTTAAATCGCGATTTAAATCACTTGATTTTTTTCAAAAAAATCACTGATTTAAATCAACTTTTATGAAAAAAATTAGTTTTCTCTATTTTCTCTTCTTCTTAACAGATACTTTCAATGTAATCATTTTCATTTCTGTTCCACATGCTTTAGAGATACTTTAAAAGAATGATACACCCTCATGGAGTCTGATTTAACACCACTGTTTTATTTTCAAATTGTAAAACAAGCAAAACTGATGAAAAAAACAAGTTTCTAACGAAGTAATGATAAATAACTCTCTGTATGTACACCAAACTGTTAAATCTTCAATTAAATAATATATAAAATCTACAAAGGTGCTCAAAGTCCACAACTTGGATACTTTTACAAAACAGCTGAACTACTTGTATGTACCTCCTTCTTGTTACTATTAATACCCATTCTTTCAATTACTTAAGTTGAAGGCATATGTACATGTACATTTGATAAGAATTACATGTATATTTGCATGCTTGTGTATTTTCTTATCAATACCCATACATTCAATTACACAATTTCAAAGTACACATGTATACTTAATAAGTAAGAATTTAAAAATGGGAAAGTTGCTGGGCAAGTGTTACTGTATGCAGCAATACAACTGCTGTGCTTGCTTGTTCATGTAATAGTTTGAAAAAACAGCACATCAATGATGTGGTGGACAGTGGTGCTTATCCTGCATCTTGCAACAAAATTTATTGAAGTTTTATTTGGAACTGAGGTTACACTGTAATGAAAACATAAAATGTGTATTTTGTTACAAGCATATCAGGAAGTGCCTATTGCAAATCTGGTAAAATATTACATTCAAATTAGATGTTAACGTACAGACTGATATAAAAATTTCAAGAGTTTAAATGTATACATAATACATAACATTACTTGGGCTTCCATAAAATGTCCCTCTCTATAATGCAAATAAATAAAAAAAAAAAAAAAAAAAAATTACCTGTATATAAGTGGATTATTGTGTCAAATAGTACAATACACAATGTTCAAAAGACTACTTGACCACTATTATTGGTGTAAAACAGTTTAAATATAGTCTAAAACTTGTTAAGTGTGACCATTATTTTTCGTTGGAAAAAAATCAAAAAAATCTGATTTAAATCATAAAAATCCGATTTAAATCAAAAAAATCAACAACCCTGGTCTGCATTCTGGGGGCCGTTTCTCGAAACCGTCATAACTACAAGATAAACGACATCTCGCCACTGTCGTGCAACTTGTCAGCTACATGTAAGTGTTTCACGAAGCCGTCTTTGCCAAGATGAGCGACAACTTCCGTGACAAGCGAGTTGTCACTGCTCCGAACCTGTCATATCTTTTTTAATTGCTGTAAAGCGCCTTCACAAGTCAGTTTGTTGCCATTCCATGGGCCGTGAAATGGACGATTAGTTTCACTATCATTTTGAGAAAAATAAAGACAAGTTCGGTACATAATTCTCTGGGATGCGAAATGCAAATGTACAAAAGTGAGAATACAAATTATACAGAAACTTTGAAAAGCTGAATATAAACATTAAATCACAAATCATTAAACTATAACATATAAATAAGAGAGGTAAGAATGTTACACACCGTATTCCATAGTCGATCCATAGTCTTTTCTTAGGATACCGTCATACCTTTGTGGCCTGTGTGCATTATTATTCCCTCTCTAATTACTTCTTCCAAATTATATTTTCAATATCAAATCAATTACATAATAAGTATTTATGAGACTCTAGAATAAAAACTGGCTGAGAAAAGACATTTTGCCTAAAATTCCTCGTCACAATAAACAAAAAAGTATGTATTGATAAACTATCACATTACGGTATCCTTTTGATTCGATTGTCAAAAAAAAAACACTCACCGGTTTTTCTTCAATTTAAGAATCTTTACAGAAATATGCAAATTGTTTGATGATGTAAATATAATAATGACACCATTTATTATTTATTTTAGGAGAATTTATATGTATATCTTTCTTTTTGAACAATTTTAGCCCCAAAACTTGTTTTGGGTTATTCTTCATCAATCAAATGGATCGTGACAAAGATTATCTTCTTGAGCTGCTAGTCGCGATATATCAATATCATGTCTGTCATGGCTTTGTGAAACGGTTTATCCACTTCATGACATCTCTGTAGGTCGGCGACAAAGATATGACTGCAGTGAAAAAAATACACGGGGGCTCAGGGCGATTTAGCCCCCGAAATGCCCAAAAGAGCCCCCGAAAATCAGAAAAGAGCCCCATAAATTTGCATAGAGTTCAATGCAAAACAGATTTTAGAATGTTATTTTCATGCAGGCAAGCTTGAAAAGTAGCCCCCGAAAAATAAATATTAATTTTTTCCCTGTATGACTGTCATGGAGTTGGTTTCGAAAAACGGCCCCCAGACTACTAGTAGGAACTTTAAGATTTGCACGGCGAGAACATGGACTGCCTTTTAAAGAGAAGGTTGAGTTCTGGGAACAGGTGAAATATATTTTGTGAGCGTTATCATTGTTATTATGCAAGTGTGGAAGAACATCATATTAAAAGTGTTCCCTGGAAAGCATGGCTCTTCAAATGCCTTAATATTCTAAATATGGCATGTAACAGCATAAAAATCAGGACAGATTTTTACACCAGATATTTGTGTAGTCCCATATACATCTTTCTGTGTACAGTACTTGCAACTTTACCAAGACTAGGCCACATTCCTTATCATGTTGATTGTTCCAGAACCATGCAGTACACACCAATACTTATATGCTAGAAAATCAACCATTTCTGATCGATTCCACACTGTTTCTTTCACAATGCAATCGTATGACCAGAACTCAACTTCGTCTTTAAGGCAATGTGACGTCCTTTTAAGGCACTGGCAGTGCCCGGCAATGCCTTAAAAGGAGGTCACATTGCCTTAAAAGGATGTCACACATAGCAGTCCACGATCTTGTCGTGCAAATCTAAAAGTCCCTAGTATTGGAAATAGGCCATTTTCGTAATGTAACCAAATTTAATGCATAAGTCTTTGTGAAGTGCCTCAATACAAATTATTTTATTCACCTAAAAGGAATAATAGTATTTCTATAGTCAGAATGCAAATTGCATATTTTAAGTGTTGCTAGGTAGGTCAAGCCATAATGTTTGTCCAACCTGGCAACAACTAATGTATGCATTTTGAATTCTGTCTGTTGAAATACTATTATTCTTGTATCAGGTGAATGAAATAAAATGTATTGAGGCATTTCACAAAGACGTATGCATTCAATTTGGTTACATTACGAAAATGAAATACATTGAAATACAAGTGCTCAAAAAAATCCATGCAATAGTTTTTCACTAGGCTTTTGTATGTGAGCATCCATAACATTTGGATAAATTTGTGATTTTCTCTTTGTCTGAAATCCACTGCTCATTATTAGTAAGAGCTTGTCAGATGCTTTTCTTACAAAGCAACAACTAATTATTCAAAGTAAATTCCATCTATTAAAGATATAGCCATTATGCACATTATACACAGCAGGTGAATTGAATACTTGATAAGAAGGAGTTCTAGGGAGGAACATGCGTAATTTAGAATAAATAGGCTTTTTGGTAATCACTATGAACACGACGACAAAGAAAGCGGACAAAATATACAGTTCCTCAGGTAGACAAAGGAACATCCCTTCACTGCTATTATGTAAAAAGGTGAGTATGCATGTGACACCTGTTCTACACATTTGTACATAATAGCAGTGAAGGGATGATCCTTTGTCTACCTGAGGAACTGTATATTTTGTCCGCTTTCTTTGTCAGTCATATTCATAGTGAATGTAATGTAACAAATTTAATGCATACCTTTTTGTGAAGTGCCATCAAATTTAATGCACAAGCCTTTGGTAAGTGCCATGTTACAAATTATTTCATTCACCTGTTAAGAATAATTGTATGTCATCAGTCCAAATGCTACATGGGACAAACATGGCTTGCCTTACCTAACAAGACATAATATATGAAATGTGCATACTAAGTTTCTGACTATTTAAATACAATTATTCTTAACAGGTGAATGAAATAATTTGTAACATGGCACTTACCAAAGGCTTGTGCATTAAATTTGATTACATTACACAAAATGCACTATGAACATGACAGACAAAGAAAGCGGACAAAATATACAGTTCCTCAGGTAGACAAAGGAACATCCCTTCACTGCTATTATGTAAAAAGGTGAATATGCATGTGACACCTGTTCTACACATTTTTACATAATAGCAGTGAAGGGATGTTCCTTTTTATACCTGAGGAACTGTATATTTTGTCCGCTTTCTTTGTCAGTCATATTCGTAGTGTTGGTAAACTGGTCTACTCAATCTACTGTACATATTATGCAGGTATCTGTGGTTATAGAGGATTTCATTATTGGTATTGCTTAACAGGCTGGTACTTTTAGCGTTGCTGACAAGGATACCTTATCCAGACGACCGATGATCAAAGCTAAGAGGAGAGTCACAGAAAAACAACAGGTAACATTTTCCTTCTCCTTTATAATTCCACCAAATTAAAACAAAAATACTCTGTTCTCTGCAGAAGTCCCATTTGTTTTTATATTAAGAATTTTTTTCTTTCTTTCTTTCTTTTTCGGAACTATTGATCTTGTAGAAAAGTTTCCACAGTTTCAAAGCAAGTTACAATGTTAATGGGGCAGGGGCAATCGCAGTAATTATAACACTGTCAGAACATACAGAAAATAGCATCAATTGTAATAGCATCTGATACAATTCATTGAATTTGTAACAAAATAATAATATGAAAGGTTTTTAATTTTGGAGGGTAATTTTCTTTATTCATGGTGCTACTGAGCCATCATATATTAAGGGGTCATTGACACAAAGACGTAACTCCATTTTTAGAAAAAAGTGGTTTATGTGTCACTGAGCACTTGGGCCTTAAGGAGTTAAGTCTATGTTTCACTAACCATTGACTTCATAGGGGTGTTGGGTGGAGTTAAGTCTTTGTGTTTCCTGGAAAGCCCACATTTTTCTGAACATTTTGATATCAAATACTCATTTGGCAAAACATGGAGTTACGTCATTGTGTCACTGAACCCTCGATATCTACTTATGTTTTAGGCAAGTTTTTAATTAGGGCTTCGACGAGTAGTCGAATACTCAAGTATTCACACTGTTGACAACTACTCGAGTACGATTTCTCGTACTTGAATATTCGGCCGCAAAAAAAAAAAAAATTTAAAATTAAATTCCCGGTCACCTGGCACTGTCCAGGCTGACGCTTACCCGTGCCAGGGAAAACGCCGGCCACCTGCATGGTACAGTCAGTAAAGATGTTTCCCAGCTCAATCACTGTCAAACTCACCACTCAGAAACTGGGACCAAATGTCCGGATTTCTGTTTGGACTCGGAGGAAAATGGATTATTCTGCCATCTTTAGTTTTTAAAACAGCATTGTTTACTGTTATTATTATTATTATTATTAAATCGGCACCTTCAACTGCTACTCAAAGTAAAACTGTGTGAGTTTTCGGAGACGGACCTGGGATACTGCTCCCGTAATATGGTGATGGCAAAAACAAAAAAAAATTAAATTTTAAAAAAACATGGCGTCCGAATATTACTCGTCTGTAAGCCTGGGAGTGTACTCTGGTACCTCATTACACGGTCGTGTTCAGCCTTATTTGTAATGATGCATTTTTCATGGTATAAAAATATAAAGTATATGGTATGTAGAGGTGTCGTGGTCGAGTGGATATGTCACCGGACTGTGGATCACAAGGTCCGCGGTTCAAGTCCCGCCGCAGCACTAATGTCCTTTGGGAAGACATTGATCTACATTTGCCACTCTCCACCCAGGTGTTAAAATGGGTACCCGGTATGATGCGAAAGCAAATGTGGTTTGATTAGCAATGGCGCTTGTAAAATGGCGACTGGCTGGAATGCTCCCCAGGGAGTGGAGAATGTGCATACCTCGTGTGCGGGTAAGCCTGAATCCGATGACCGGGGTAATAATATGTTACGCGCCTAGAAACGTAGTATTAGGCGCGTTGTAAATGTGAGCTATTATTATTATTATTATAATGAGCCTAGAGCAATGACAAAGTCAAGTCCTTCTGTGTGGATGGTGATGAAGTGTGTTTTCCCATCTTGTTTCCTCTAATATTGAAGGACGAGAGTGAGCCCGCAGCACAGACGCCGTTCGCTGCATTTAAAGGATTCTCCGGGTTTGGAAGCGCCACACAACAGACTTCAACCGCCTCATTCGGCTTCAAACCGGTTTCAACCGCTTCCCCCACTGCACCCGTAACACAGAGCACAGTCTCGTTCGGTTCCGCAGCGTCATCCAACACGGTCAAACTTCAAGCTAAGACAACCTTCAGCTTCAAACCAAGCGCAGAGTCGCAACCATCGACAAACATGTTCACATTAGGCAAAACAGATACGGACCCCAAGACCTCGTCAAACGGGAGTTCTTTATTCTCTAAATCGGAAAATGGCGGCAAGGGGACGGATGTGTACGCCGATGAAATTAGGGCGTTGAATCGGTCTGTGAGTGCATGGATTCAGAAACATGTAGAGGGCAATCCCGTTTGTGACTTGACGCCTATTTTCGAGGATTATAAGAAGCATCTGGGAGAAATCGAAGAGAAGCAAGCAAAGGGGAAAGAAGGAGGAGGGGGAGGGGAGCAGAGTAAAACAAAACCACAGCTTGCCACAGTCAGCCCTCTATTGACAGAGCAAGGGAAGTCTTCCAGCACAACAGCAGTTTCATTCACAGGTATCATTAAAGGGATTGGGTATCTTTGCCTCAGATTCTAAACAAAATCCTGGATTTAGCTCATGCTGCAATTAAAATTATAAACATTTAGGTCAGTCAGGAACCCCGTGACTTTTACCAGCCGATCGCCTGTCTAATTATCAAGATATTTATGATTGGAATTAGAAATATTAACAACTGTTTGCCAAACAATTTTGAACAGTTGTTTACAACACTACAGTCTATTGGGGAAAATGAGTACGGTAAAACCGGTCACTCAAAGATTTTTCTTTTTTTGAAGCACTACATGATCATTTTGAAGCACAATTTTTGTTGGGCTTCAGTATAACACATAGGGCCATGCATCCCAGATTTGTGAAACTGTAAAACATTGTTAACAATGCCTTTAACTATTTCTTCTTCTTGTACAAGGCTGGTCATACCTGACAGATGACAATAACAATGATTTTTTCCTACATTGCTCTCACACTATAAGGGAGGTAAAAGCATTATAAATTGCTGTTGTCGGTCCCACGTCAATGATTTCTAATGCAAATGAGTCTACCTCAACAATTTTACCATTGTGCTGAAATCAATTTTTCCAAGCAGGTTTCTAATAGGACAGACCTCAATTCAATTTTTTTTTTTTTTTTTACTTCAGACCACCCTCTGATGACAAAATGATGCTTCATTATCTTTGAATTTTGAAATAGAAATGCCCAATGAACATCTCCCAGGTAAAAATGAATTATACATTTAAGCGGGACTGCACTACTTGTAACTACTTGCACCCACTATATAGCCAACATTGCCTAAGCGGTACCTGTTGGGAGCTGATTTGATGAGATACCCACCTGCCAGTGACCTTGCAGGGAGGTCTAATCCCCCTCCCGTACACTAGTACAGATAAGTTTTAGAGCAGTTAACATTTATGAATATGCTTTTGCATTAGTTATTTATGATTACTAACGTTGCAAATTTTTCTACTCTCTCGTCCAGGATTCAAGTTCGCTGGAGGTCCAGCAGCTGCAGCAGAAAGCGAGAAGGCGCCGTCAGCTCCGAAAGTCAGTTTCGGCTTTGGGGCTGCATCCTCCGATAACAAGGGCTTCAGCTTTGGGGCCACAACCTCCGATAACAAGAACTTAGGCTTTGGGGGCGCTTCTTCCGATAACAAGAGCTTAGGCTTTGGGTCGTCATCGTCGTCCTCTTCAACGTCGGGATCGATGGCAGGCAAGTTCTCTTTCGGAGACTTGACCAAAGCTGCCCCTTCCAGCCAAGGTAATTTTGTTTTGGCTCTCAGGGAAGGTTGAGTTCCAGGAAAGATGAGAAGAATCGTTTGAAAAAAATTATTCTCATATTATTTTTGAAGAATGCCCTAGACAAAAAAAGTTTTTGGTTTTTGTACCTGTGTATAAGACGCACCCGCGACTTTCGATTTTTTTTTTTTTCAGCGGTAAAAATTGCGTCTTATACACAGAGATTTACGGTGTGATAGTAAACCGGTATTTTGCTTTCAATTTGTATTAGCATGACCAGTACCCAACTTGATCTTTACGATGACAAAATTAACTAATTTTCTCTGTTATTTATGATTTATTTTTTAAGTCAAGAAGGAGGAAGAGGAGGAATCAGATGAACCTCCAAAGGTCGAAGTGAAAGTGATTGAGGAGAAGGACTCCCTCTATTCCACAAGGTAAGAAAGTTTTATTTTGTTCATTCATACTTTCTAACTCCTATGAACATGAAAGTAATATGCATGTTACTTCAAGTTAGAATGGTCACTGACAGGTGGTTATCTCATCAAATCAGCTCCAAATTAACATAAGAAAAAGGGGATCATGGGGACCGATGGTCGCCGATTAGGCATTGTTTGCCAAATATAGGGCGCAAGTAATAAGCAGTGCAGTGGGGCTTTAGCAGAATCTATATTTTTGCTCATCTTTCTTTCTTGCTCTAGATGTAAAATATTTTACAAGAAAGAATCAGAGTTCAAGGAGAGAGGTGTAGGAATGCTGCACATCAAGGATACGGGAGGGTCCGCCCAGCTTCTCATCAGAGCGGATACCACACTTGGTAAGTGAAAAATATAATGATGATGGGGAGCAAGAGGAGGAGGATTTGGTGGTGGTGGTGGTGGTGGTGGTGATTATGATGATGGTGGTGATGGTGATGGTGATGGTGGTGTTGATGGTGATTATGATGGTGGTGGTGGTGGTGGTGATGGTGGTGGTGGTGGTGGTGGTGGTGGTGGAGGTGGTGGTGGTGGTGGTGGTGGTGGTGGTGGTGGTGGTGGTGGTGGTGATGATGATGATGATGATGATGATGATGATGATGATGATGATGATGATGATGATGATGATGATGATGATGATGATGATGATGATGATGATGATGATGATGATGATGATGATGATGATGATGATGATGATGGTGATGGTGGTGGTGATAATTAAGAGCAGGAGGAGGAATAGGAGGGGGAGGTTTATGATGATGGTGATGATAATGATGGTGATAATGATGGTTGTCACGATGTGGAGCAAGAGGAGGAGGAGGAGGATTATGATGATGGTGATGGTGAGGGTGATGGTGATGATTATGGTGGTGGTGATGATGATGATGGTGATAATGATGTTTAAGGTGATGGTGTTGGTGGTGGTGTTGATGGTGATAATGATGATGGTGGTGGTGGTGTTGTTGATGGTGATGATGATAAAGGTGGGGATGATTAGGAGCAGGAGGAGGAATAGGACTTGGAGGGGGAGGATTATGGTGATGATGATGATGATGATATTGATTATGATGATGATGATTAAGGTGGTGATGTTCATGATGATGGTGATGGTGATAATGATGGTGGTGGTGGTGGTGGTGGAAGTGATGATGATGAGGAGGAAAAGGATTATGATGGTGATGATGATGATACTCAAATGAATTTATATTTTGCACATATCCATCCCAAGGAATGTTCAAGGCACCTATAAAGTACTGTTATTACCCCGGTTTTACCAGTAGTCTAGCAACCCTCGGGTGCTAAAAACATTCAAGGAAACAATTCCTACCAGGAACCCATTTACTACCCGTGGGTAGATACTGGCAAATGTGGAATAATGTCTTGCCAAACAACAGCAGCTCTGGGCTGGGACTCAGACTTTAAGCCAGCTTTCAAATGCTATGCAGCAAAAAAAGATTTAAAATAGCACTTTGACCTTATTTTCTTTAAATTGTGCCGTCTCTTCGCATTGTATTGTGTTTTAACCAGAGCTTTGTTGCTGTTTGTTGTTTTGTGGAGCTGAATCATTCACCACTTCCATGTTTGTTATTGTTTGTTTGTTTCAATACTTTAATTCATCTCTTGTCTCTCTTGCAGGAAATGTCATCTTGAATGTCGGCGTTACGTCCGGCATGCTGCCCCACTTCACCAAGCAAGGCAAGAACAAGAACAACGTCATGATGCTCTCCCCCCTAAACCCACCGGCCGATAAAAAGTGCCCCAAGTGCAAAAAGAACTATCTAAACCCCCAGGAAAGCACGGCCTGTGAGGAGGGCTGCAACCCCGACGCCACCCCTCTCCTGCTCCGCGTCAAGACTGAGGCGGACGCCGATAAGCTGATTGAACAGATCAAGAAGATCTGCGAAGATTAGCTGGTCATTTGGATTTAGGAGATATGCGAGGATTAACTGATGGAGGAAATTAGGAAGAGATTAGTGGGTTCTGCAAGGTTTAAATGATTTCAAAGATTTTGAATGTAGATTTCAATAATAACTTCTTTAATGAAGCCCCTTTTGATAAGATACCAAGCGCATGGAAAGAAAATGCTTACAAACAAAGCAAAAGAAAATGTTCATACAAAGCTTACATTGATAACAAACAAAGAGGAATATTAAGAGAAATTAGAAAAGATGTGTTTGCAGACACCTCTTGAAAGCTGCAAGATCATTCAGGTGAAATAGACATGTTAAGATTAATCAATTTGAGAGATAAATAGGATGCACAATGATCAACTGATTTGAAAGATTAAAGATAATTAATGAGTTTAAGGAGATCTGCTAGGATTAATTGGCTGGAATGCTCCCCAGGGAGTGGAAAATGTGCATACATTGTGTGCGGGTAAGCCTGAATCCGATGACCGGGGTAATAAGATATCTGTAAAGCGCTTAGGCACATCGTTGGATCGATGTATTGAGCGCTATATAAACACAGAATATTATTATTATTATTATTAATTGAATGGAGAGATGAAGAGTCGCATGTATGAGGATAAACTGGTAACCTTGAAAATAGCATCTTGTATGGTGACTTTATAAAGTAATATTTTGCAGGGATAAATAATTCAAGATTTTGAAGATTTTTGAAGTTTCATTCATCATTTTGAGATACTTGGATAAAGAATTAATTAAATAGATGCACTTATTTAATAATTTTACTGATTATCAACATCAGCAGAATATTTTATATTATACGGTGTTGCAAGAGAAATACTGATTTTGTGAAACACCAAATATAAGAAACTGCTAGAGAATGTCGTTTCATGAGGAAATAGCATTTTAAGATAAAAAGTATATTTCTTCCTAGCTCGCTCACAATATTTAGAATCAGGATGATTTCAGGCAGCTAAGTGTCTGAATACCTCCATATTTTGCAACAAGGTGCCCGAATATGTTTTCAGATATCTTTTATATAAAAATTATATTTTTACGACTCGTTTCCGCTTCTCAAAATTGCGACATTTAGTAATAGGATAATTATGGGCGCCAAGATTCCCGGATATCCTCATAATCATGTTTATTTGGCAGCGGGTTGGCCACATACATTATATTTCATGTCTTATCACTCGTTTCAGATTATCATTTTTTTTAAAACATATTTCACGTATGCTTGAAATTTGATTTCAATTGTTGACTGGCATATTAAAAGCATGTCGCTGAAAAGTGAAATTAATAAATTCTAAGGCTTTTCAAATATATCTCACTGATTGATTTTTCTACAATTGTTTTGAAATGATATGTTTAATTTTTCCTTGATCTCTCTAAATTCTTGAATTTTCAATCATTTGCATTAAACAAAAGGAACACAATTTTTCAATGAAAATTCTGACTATTTCTGCTATGTGCTGATTTCATTTTAATAATGCATTTATTTTTAATCTGAAGAAATAATAATAAAATGATAATTCCACTAACTCTTATGGCTATTGTGCAGTATTATACCAAAGGGCTACAATTAACACCAAGTGACATATAAATATAAATATTTACAGCACTTGTAATGTTGGTAACTTTTTTTGAATGTGGGATACGCACGGACAAAAAAACAAATAGGCCCATTTTTGTTTTTCAGTAAGAGGAAAGGGAAATCTTTTGTCAAAACTAGTGTAGGAATTTAATAATAAATACATGTAGTGACATAATAATAATAGTGGGTCCTTGTATAGCGCTCATATCCACAGTGATTGAGTGTATATGTTACATACACATTAAGTGTGTGACAAATGTCAACTATGGTGGCCTACTGTTCGATTTATTAATAGGACATGCAGACATAGAGTTATTGCCTACGTTGTTTGGTTGTTGTTTTCTTTATGTGGTGATGTTTGAGGATTGCTTTACCTGACTGCTATTAGAAAGCATGTATATGCTTGTAAGTAAGTAAGCAACCAGGGGACAGATGGCTTCAAGTCCTCTCAGAGGGACTTGGTAATGAGGGTTAAAGCCTTGCCAAAAGGCACAAGTGCATTGACTTGGTTCCAAACCTGGGACCTCTCGGTACGAGACCACTGAGCCATCGTGCCCCCTCATGGCGCCTTATTTCTTCTTTCTTTAACTATTAGCTGTTTTTCTCTTCTCAGCAGTATGAACATTTTTATTTAACATGCCTGGTGTATAGGAACATTGCATTAATGGAATTGATCTATTTTTTTTTTTTTTTTTTTTTTTTTTTAGGGGGAGGGGATAGTTTGTTCCACTTAACTTATGTTCTGTATTTTCTTTGTCAATCACACATTTGCTTAAGTTTTTGTCCCTCTGAATGTGTCTTATGTATAATGCTTATTGATCAAACAGTTTGATTTAAATTGTTTCCCAAAGAGATGTTGAGACACTGTTTTGACCACTTGTACAATGTTCTGTAATGTTTGTAACTTTATAAACTTTGCTACTGATGGTTAGTGTGAATGAGAGAGAGAGAGAGAGAGAGAGAGAGAGAGGGGGAGGGGAGGGGAGGGGACTATACACATTGTTAATACCATTTGTACAATGTACAATTCTGTAATGTTTGTAACTTTATAACCTTTGCTACTTTATCAGTGGGGTGAATGAGAAAGAGAGAGGTGACAGACGGAGAGAGAGAGAGAGAGAGAGAGAAAGGGAATACTAAACACATTTTTTCCTACCATTTGTACAATGTTCTGTAATGTTTGTAACTTTATAAAACTTTGCTACTTTATCTGTAGTGTGAAAGAGAGAGACAAAAGTCAGAGAGAGAGAGAGAAGGGGGATACTAAAGACGGGAGTTGCTTCTACCTTGTTCGGTGTTTAACAATAAGGGATAGAGCAGCGTCGATCTGGCGCTGCTCAGTGGCTGCCGGGCTCACGATCAATTGGGCAAAAAGAATCTCCAATTTAGGTTTCACTTAGTAAAATTTGGAGTGTACTTTAAAAGATTATTATTATTATTATTATTATTATTATCTTTTTCTTCATCATTATGCTATACATATTCAAATTTGTATAGTTCAGAGATTTGAAATCTCGATATTTAACATGAGTGGTTTGAAACCATACAAGCAAATTGAATCTTTTCTCAGTTACTATAGCTAGGGTAAGTCATAAGTGAAAATAATTAATAATAATGATAATAATTAAATGTTTTTGTATAGCACTTTACAGAACAAAATTCAGAAGGAGTGGAAATGGTGCATAACCCATTTGTAACAAAGTAGAATAAAATAATGGAAATTGGCAAAGACTTATCATTTTGTTTAATGCATTGAAATTTCTAAGAGGATTATCAACACGATTTTTCAGGTTAAAAATTTTATAACATTTGATTTGATTTTTCTACCTGAGGTACGGTATATTGTTACAGACGTTCTATATGTATTATTTCATTATTTCCATATTTTAAGCTGTCATTGAGATTCGTTTGGGGTAATTCTTTTTTTTTAATTGTTTTCTTTTTTATTTGATCTATCTTATTGTTCATGTTTGTTAAAAATTTCTGGTAAAAAATGTTCTACATATTTGAATGTTTGATTTTTTTTTTTCTTTTAAACCAAATAATGTTTTAAAGAAATCAATGCATTGTTTTAAAGAAAGTTGTAAGCTTCATTTAATCACATTTTATTTGTATCCAATGCAACATCTTATTTTCATGCTTTGATATGTTTGAATCTATCCATTAATAAATGTGAATATTTCATAACTTTCATGGTGTTATGCAGATTGACTCTCAAAGATAAACTAATTAAGGGTAATCCTAAAAATTTCCATAAAAACAGAGAAATGTGTTAGCTTGGAGAGAGAGAGAGAGAGAGAGAGAGAGAGAGAGAGAGAGAGAAATAATAATGATATGTTAATGAGAACAAAGAATTATCCAGCAACTGGTTAAAACCCTCTAGAATATAGAATTCCATACCTGGCAACTCTTTCCATTAAAAGTACCAGGGAAATGATTGTTCTGGGCTATAGAGTAGTGTTGGCTATGATGCACAAAATGTATACATCTCTCTTTAATTTGCAATGAAATACGTAATATCTATCCAGTAAACGGTTAGCATAACTCCACTATAGGCCAGTATTGCAAAGAGCATAATTATGTTCATCAACAAGTTTCACGTCAACAAAGAATAAACGAGTTGGGAATACCACATCCGGGAACTTTGAGAGGTGTACAAGACCCCTTCACTTCTTTTCCCCATGCATCCGCGAAATAAGCAAAATCTGCCGTTTGTTTTTCTGACTGTAATTGAGATGAATTGTCACGATTTTATATGAAACATTGTACTCAATATTCAATTTTATGTTTAGGATGGGATTAAAGCTTTAGATATGGCTTTGTAATGAATTTATAACTTTATTTTATTATTACGCCATGTGATTCGGTCCATGAGTGAACATATATTTTTTGTTGTCTTACGGTATTTTTATCTGCCCGAATTGGAGTTTAGTGATTATCTGGTGTCACATTGAAGATGTCCAATAAAGAGCTGGAGAAGCTACAGCATCTGCTGCGAAAGGAAATACAAACCCATCAGGTAACTTTCTATGAATCTGCAAGGTTTTGAGATATTTAGCTCGTAGATTTCAGGGGCCGATACCCGGTGATGCCTGTACCCCTCCAGTTTAAATGTCCTATTGCAACTTGCGTGTGTGTGTGTAATTTGCATGCAAGTCTCCGACTATTTCTGGGTGCTCTACCGGCGACTCCTCGCTAGTTCGTATTTTGACCTTTTACAAAATCTAATATTTTTAGACTTTGGTAGACTTCTTCATCCATTTAACTGCAATGAGCTCAGCTCTCTCTATTTATAGAATGCAAAAAATGTCTCAATTTTGTCGGGGTATACCCTGAATTTTTCAGATTGAGTGGTTTTTACGATTCTCAGAAACTTTCTCGCCGCATCTTTCCCACAACATCATTTTGGTCTATTGTCCTGAAGCTCGCTGCCTCAAGTTTCATTCATTGACATTTTGTTTACGTGCATACATGTCAACTGGGAGTGTTATGCAGTATGTGAGCACCGAGTGTGTGTGTGTATTGCAGTGGTATGCAAGGGAAGATCTGTGTGGAATTGACTGCACGTAGTGAACACATACTACATTATAGGCCTAATCATATTGAAACAAAGTACAAACTTACAAAAATACAAAAAGAATCTGGAGTGGACCCCACATAACAAACAAAAATATGTAAAGCTAGATTCTTATGATGTATCGCCAACACTCTGTGAAATGAAGAACTCCTTGAATTTTCTCCATTGTCAGCTTGGCCTTGTTCATTTTTCTTTTTCTTTTTTTCATTTGTCTGTTTGTTTTTCTTTTTGTTTTTTGAGGATGACTATTTTACCTGACTAAGAAAACATGCATAGACCAGACCTAGACTCTATGCATGGAAATAAATATCCAGGGGACCAACGGCTTTAAGTTTTACTTTACGTTCTCACCGAGCCCGAGGGACTTGTAAGTTGGTATCGTGGACTAATGCCTTACCAATGGGCACAAGGACATTTAACAGTTTTGAACCCAGGACCTCCCACTTATGACACCTCTGCTCTACCACTGAGCCATCATGCCTCTCATGTTTTTCATGCTGGACTACCTTATTTGTAAAAAAATTAATCAATGAATAAATTGAATAAATTAATACTAGAAATGAATAGAGTCTAGTTAATCAATTGAATTAATAACTAAATAATAAACCAAAAGGGTCTTAATGAATGTACAGTACATGTTCAGTAGATCTATGTGGATCTAATTCATAATATTTGTTTAATTTGATGTTATGTTTTTTTTTCCTTGTTGGATTTATAGGCAAAAAAATCTTACAAAATTGTAAAATATTGATCAAGTCTATTCTTACATCTCCAGTTTGTAATGTACTGTAGTTTTTTGCCCTTTTAAAAAAATAGACTACAAGGTTAAGGAATGGGTACATGTATGCACTATCTGCGGAATACATGTAGATGCTTAGTAGTAGTTTAGTTGCATAAATGAAATGGACCAAAATAGTTATCTACATGCAGGCGCGTACGCAGGATTTCTTCGAAGGGGGGGGGGGTTTAAAATGTGAAAATCACGCCGAAAATTTCTCAATGACTCAACCAGCCGCTGAATAAACAAACGGGGAGGGGGGGGGGGTAAGAGGACATATGAAAATTTGGCTGATCAATATTTCGTTTCGTTGGGGGGGGGGGTAAGGTCAGCTTTTTGGTGTCACCCATTACCACAATTTTTTTTTTTTTTTTTTTTTCCAATCAAAAAAAATAATGAGGGGGGGGGGGTTTCCTCCAAAACACACACATACAAAAGTTTGAGGGGGGTTCAACCCCCCCTCGGCGTACGTGCCTGTCTACATGTTAATACTAGGAATTGCAATGACATGTTTAGTTGGCTACAATTCCCTTCATACTGTTTTCGATCTATACTTACTTACTTGGGTATACTTGGGTGTAGAGACTGGAAGCTTCGCTTATTTGTCCCTCTTTACTGTTGCATCCCGTCTCAAGTATGGTTCAAACTTTATTGGATTGTTTCTCCAATACCTTTCTAGGAATGACTTGAATTGGTTAATGGTGGTAGCATTGACTACTTCCTTAGGCAGGGCATTCCAATTGTTTACACTCCTTATTGAGGAACTATACTGCCTAAGTCTTGTGTTAAAACGTTGTTTAACAATCTTGAAATCATGTCCTCTTGTTATTGATCCAGTGGCAAGTTGGAAGAATTTTGAAGGATTCACTCTGTCAAAGCCTCTCAGGATTTTGAATATCTGTATCTGGTCTGCTCTTTGTCTTCTGTAAGCCAAAGTAGGAAGTTGTAGTTCTCTAAGTCTGTCTGGGTATGCTTGTTGTTTCAGTTCAGGAAGAAGTCTGGTGGCCCTCTGTTGGACTTTTTCTAGTATGTCTTCATCTCTCTTGAGTATTGGGCACCATACAGAGTTGCAGTATTCTAGTGTTGGTCGAATAATATTACACTTTGTTTTTTTGAAGAGCCTGGTCTTAATTTGATTTCTAAGAAATACAATTGTTTATTTCAAGTTTTCAACATGCACTTTGTTGATTGTTTTTTAAATCAGTGTTGCTGGATATCACATGTTCACACTTGTAGAGCGCCACATTGATATTCAAAAGAAATAGAATGACCTTCCAAATACAGAAAAAAAAGTTTAAATTCATTCACTTTTTAATTTTATTTGTTCAATATGCCAGACCCAAAATAAACTCAGATACAATTTACACATGTAACTTGAAATTTATATTAGAATAAGATGAAACTGCATGTACTGTAAGTAAACTAAGTACATTGTACACCACAAGAACCTATTTTATTGGCAATACACTTTGCATGGTGGCATGATTCCTTTGTTACCGCCTTACCGGTATACATTATGCATCTCTAGTACTGGTATACATGTAGACTTGCATGTATTTACATGCAATTACATCATGTACATGGAGATCAGTTTGGTAAATTGGAGTTGGTTATGCACAGGCTGGTCATAAATGCACAAGGAAATACTTTGTTTTTTTAGCAGTACAGGTGTAGCCATATAAGCCACTGTATTGTAAATAATTGTGTACTCAATAAGCCAAACATGCACCTTGTGTATGTGCAGGTAGGTCTCCTTGTTAATAGAGGGTTCTATTTTTCTTGTTTTATATTCTTTACTAGTTTACTCTTTTTTTTTCTCTCTCTCTCTTTTCTGCAGATACTTGTGACAAAGATCAAGAGTGAACCTCATGTAAGGAAAACTTTTGTATTTACTGTTAAATGTTGTTGTTTGTGATAATTTACATTGCACCTGTGAAAATGAAAGATGTAATATCAATTCATTTTTATGAAGAATTTTGCCACTGGGAACTAACAAACCAAAGCACTCATCAACCTTGCCAACTTTGAATACTGGGAAGCTTAATACCAAACTGTTAACATTCTACTCACTGTGTACAACTCTCTACCCCTTTCGCTTATGCATTCAGAGTAAATGGATTGGAATTTTGAGCCAGCTGCATTTTCAGTGTACAGCTTTAAGAGATTAAAATTAACAGCTTTGTTTTAATTTAAGTCAACAAAATCACAATCATGTAGACATGTATATAATGTATTTGTTTTTAATTTTCAAAATCCAGGTCTTTGTTGAGATCGTGTAAAAAAAAATTTGAAATATCCACAACCTCTTTCTTCAATATTGTTCGGGGATATGATGATGAAATATTGCGTACATGTACATGTACATTTGAATCAGTGTACAGTACTTGTATGAGGGTAATACATCAAAGTTTATCGTTGTTGTTCTCTCTTTTGTTATGAACAGAATGTAGAACTGCGAATGAATCTGCATGATCAGCAAGCCAAGATAACAGCTCTCAGTGAAAAGCAGGTACGATAAATGATTATGTAACCATGAAAATGGTGCTAGAATAATGCTTTTCAAAGATAAAGGTGAGTTCTGGTAAAGCGATTGTGAAAGAAAAGGTGTAGAATGGAACAGAAAAAGTTGATCATGTAGCACTGCAAGGTTCTGGAGCCATTAAAATCATAATCAAGTTGGCCCAGTCTTGGTAAAGTTGCAAACACTGTACACAGAAAGATGTATATGGGACTACACAAATGGTGTCAGGGCTAGTGTACCTTGATATCCTTATCTTTCTATGCTCATTACTCAGTCAGTTTACATTTTCTTCCAAAATTGTTTGGCACATGACATTTATTTGTAATCTTCAACATTCAGTGGAAGTTTCGTTTGATTCTGTGAGAATTCATTTTCTTTTTTTTACCAGAACTCAAGTTTATCTTTAAGCAACCCAGAATGAGTAGACTCAATAAACAGTAATTCTTTTAAATGTACGCCTGTCATCGAAATGAGTGAATTTGGATTTACAGTTCTGGTTGGGAATGGTGGGCGTGAGAATGGTGTATGAAAACCAAACCATATATATGGAGTCACTGATCACTGAAGTTGTTATTGGCAAGACACCCGATGTGAATTGATTAAAATGCTTTTAATGAAATTACTTCTGAATTGTGATGAAGTCAGTGAAAAAGGGTCCCTTTTCCTCCAGTCCTCTCTTTATTTTTCTACCATACTTTTTGTAATGTTTACCACAGAAAAAAGTCGTAGAACAACTCCGCTCAGACCTTGGTGTGAGGAAGCCCTCAGCACAGCATGAAGCGGTGAGAAATCTATATTAACCTTCTTTTTACCAAATAACGCCTACATGTACATGTAGATGAAATTTATGATTTGTATACGTATAATCTCAAGTTGCAGGTTCGAACATCATTAACATGAAATCATCAGCATTTTCCCTCTTCAGGTTGTTAATAACTTTTGAGCCATGATAACAATCCAAGACAAGGGGAAATCTTTTTAACAATGAAATTCTAAAGTTCCTATTCCATATTCTTCTATCTTTGTCATGTAAAGTACTGTCCCGTTCTCGTCTCTTTCGGCATCCCCCTTTTTCCCTATTTTGTAGTTACAGTACCGACAAGTTTGTTAATTTAATTACTCTTTATTCCTAAGTAGCATTTGAGGTGTCCACACTTGTACAAGCATTGCTTTGTAGTAGACCACTAGACCCCTCTGTTTCCAATATGTATTTCTACATTAATTGTAAATTTGTACATGTATTATTGATTTGTAATGTTTTGTTGGAAACATAAATAAATTGAAATTGAAATATTAGAAAAAGAGAGAAAGACAGAGAGAGAAAGAGGCCTCTAGAAAGTTTATTTGCTTTGAATTCCTCAGCCAATAATTTCTTTGATTTTGAAACAGAAATATTTTTCTTCTCTTGTGCAGGTGCAGAAGGTCACTCTACTGCAAACCAGCGCTCAACCCCTGACCACATCTCAACATTTGAACATCCCTAGTCGAGTCAAGGCCAACATGATCGGTGGTACAACCACCAAGCTCCTTGTAGCCCCCACTACTACCCATACCACCACCATCACAACCACACCCATAACCAGTGGGGGAGGGGGAGTGGTCGGTGGTGGAGGAGGAGGAGGAGGAGGCGGCGCTCAGCATACCCCTTCCACGCCCACTCGTCTGTCGATCCTAACCAATAAACCTTCGGTTATAAGTATCAAGGTGCCTAATATTTCCGGTCGGCTGAACTCGCTGGTGGTGAAGAGACCTGTTTCGCAAAACCTGTCAAAGGTAAGCTTTTTTTTTTTTTTTTTTTTATGCCTCCGTTAACCGGAGGCATTATGTTTTTGGGTTGTCCATCCGTACGTCCCTTTCTCGTGATCGCGTTATCTCAAGAACCGATTGATGGATTCTTGCCATGAGGTCAAAGATAAAAGGGTCATACATACATGTACATGAAAAATAGCTTGTAATCACGATATTCTGAGAACCTGTTAATGGATTACAATTAAACTTGAATTTGAATTACTTCTGTTTTGGTTTGTGAAATCGCTCTACACCCATAACCAGTGGGGGAGGGGGAGTGGTCTATGGCGCAGGCATCATTTTTGACTGCAAACAGTCGAAGTTCCATCTAGTTTTCATTGGGTACTCAAGGATAACATAAAAGTCAACTGTTTATAATCATGTACAGGAATGTAAAATGACAAAAATATCATGAAGTCCACTACAACTCAATTATTTTTTTTTTTTTTAAATGGAGGCTTATCTTGTCGCTTCTACCCTCACCATCCCCTACATGCTAGAAGCATTTGTCAAGGGTTTTCCCAGTTATAAAGGAAAATCCTTTGAAGGTAGCAAGTTGCTGTGAATGTAAAAAGAAAATAGGCGAGACAGATTTGCGACTGTCTGAACGAAAATGAATTAATGAATTTTAAATTATGATTTTTGGAAATTGAGATTACTGTGATGTTATAAGGTACAGTCAAACCTGCTTTAGTGACCACCTGTCTACAAAGACCACATTTGTTGTTTCCCTTGAAAATGGTTCCTTATTGGAACATGTACTAAAGACCACCTGTCTACAAAGACCACTTTTTGTGTTTCCCTTGGGCAGTCTCTGTATACAGGTTTGACTGTACCAAAAAAAAAAAGGTATCTGCATATATATCAAAAGTCCTTTGCTTACTCTCTCAATTTCATGTTATGAGTTCAAGTAGCCATTGTAAATAACAAAATTCTGTCTATTTTTTTCTGACTCTCCTGAAGGAACTCGACTACATGGCAAAGCAGTACAAGCGGCAATTCCTGTCTACAAGGCCTAAAGACAACCCACTGCCTTCGTCGCTATCAAGTTGTGTTGCCTCGCAATCTACTTCTTCGTCAACGTTGCTGTCATCTACCATGACCTATACTACAGCCTGCCTGAAGAAACCTTTAACTGCCGAAGAAATGGTATGTTGTCTTCAAGGGGTCCCCTCTAGATGTTTTCCCATCTAAGTGGGGTTTTTCATGGGAAATGGCTGTGCAGCATCTACAAAGCACTCTCTAGATATCTGTTGTCCCATCTAAGTAGGGTTTTTTTTATGGGAAATGGCTGTGCAACATCCACAAAGCACCCTCTAGATATCTGTTGTCCCATCTAAGTGAGGCTTTTCATGGGAAATGGCTGTTCAGCATCTACAAAGCACCCTCTAGATATCTGTTTTCCCATCTACAACACTGACCAGTACCCGGGACACATCGGAACCCAAAATCAAATTACAGGCTCCCATTAAGCTTAACTCCCATGATTTTGAAAGTTTTACTTGTATTGGGGCTCATGCATCATATCATATGATAGATATATTCCTGTTCTTTGTTACTTACTCATTTGGTGAGCCCTAATTTCATCAGTCATTCTTATTGCAAATTAGATAAAAATGTTGTAAATAACCGTTGTTGTCAAAGGCACCCTGTAATCGTTCGATAATTTTGCGTTGCCATAGAAATTGGAGTTCATGGCATCCATTGGCCTGGTCACGCCGAAGACAGCGGAAACCTTACAGAGTAAGAGATCGGAGAGGAAAAGAAGGAGTACGGCCAACCCCCAGTTCTCAAAGTTCGACAAGCATGAGCTGGAGGTAAGCATGGTGGTGGTCAGTGAGTTAATTTAGGAAAACAATGTAGGATGTCAAGAAAATATGATCTACAAACCATAGTAGTTCAAACTCTTGTTTTAAGTGGCTGAACAAGGGTTGTTGGAGAAGAATACAAATTTTGGAGCCATTATCATTTGCAAGAGCTTGATAAGAATCTCAAACAGGCAGAATAAAAATGGAAAGAAAGGCTCTCTCATTTGTCCCTCTTTCGGTTGTGAACTGAAAATATTACCGGAACTTATGAGAGGGTTAGACTATTTTGTTTATAAAATTGTCTTATTTCACCCATGTCCTCCACCCCCCCCCCCCCCCACCTCCCACATCTTACCCCTGGATCTGCCACTAGTTGTCAGCTTATTATTGATATGGTTTGAAAATTATATGCTATAAACTAGTTAATTGATATGACATATTGTATGCATATCATTTAAGTAGTTTTTCATTACAACGTAACTGGGGAGGGTCATCTTTAAGTTTGGTTATTTACTTCTTGTTTGTTAACAGAGTCGGAGGTCTGCAACAACTTATCTAGCTGCAGCAAATGGATGGTCGGGAGAGAAAAGGAGAAAAGGTAAGAAGACAAAAGCCTTCAATCTTTCATACTTACTTATAGCATTAGAAGGAGGGGGGGGGGGACACATTGTCTTGTGGAAATGTTAGAAAGCATGAATTTAAATTTATGCTGTGTCTTGTTCATGGAAATGCAACTTACCTTCCCCCAGTTCTTTCAACATTGTTTGCTTGATTGTGTCACCTAACTGCTTGTAAGAAAGGTGATTGTGTCACCTGACTGCTTGTAAGAAAGCTGATTGCGTCACCTGACTGCTTGTAAGAAAGCTGATTGTGTCACCTGACTGCCTGTAAGAAAGCAACCAGGGAACCGACGTCTTTGTAATGAGGATTAATGCCTTACCAAAGGGTACTAGGGCATCCACTTGGTTCCAAACCCGGGACCTCCCGGTTACGAGACCACTGCTCGACCACTGAGCCATCACGCCTCCTATGTTAATCTACTAAGAAAGCCCATTGATGAATCTGTCTGAAAAGTTTGCTCACTTTTCATGTCTTAAGATTCAAGATATCATTGTCCATAATATAATACTAGGTGTAACATGTAATATGTAACACATAAGACAAAAACATAGTGTCGTGTGCTGAAAGCCAGAAGGTCGTCAAGACTCTATAATAAGTCTATGAGCAGGTACGGTCCTCCGGCTTTCAGCACAAAACATAAGACAGTTATATGACTTATACATAGCAAGAATTTTAAATACAAATCTGAATCACATCATCACATCTTAATGTCTTCTGTACTCATTCAATCTCTAAATATTTCTTTTTGTGCCTCCTTTTTCACTACAGCTGCTAGGCCTGCTAGATTCGCTGATGGTGTAGGTTCAGAAAATGCCGGAATAAATGGTCTGCCAAAGCCAGACTCCGATGTAAGTATTTTGTATACAATGGAGTTTTTAGTTTGAATTTGTTTTAATATCTTTTAAAAGAATTTGTCTTATCTTTAATATCAGTTAATGTACTGTTATTCATGTTGTTAGAGATATTTTCTGTAAGTGCCACATAAGTGGGGCTCTATTTTTACTAACAAATTTGTTTGTATTTTGTATTCACATGAACTTTCTGTCAACAAGTACCACACAGTATTGGACTACACTCCACTGTAAATAGGATTAAGCATGAGAAAATGTAGTTTTGTCAAATCTCTTATGATATAATTTTCTGTTTTTTGATGTAGACCTCCGGAATCTTCAAATAGTCATTAATTTGATACGTATTATGCCATAGGTCTGTTGATACTTGTGAGGGTTCTGTCATACACATGTATAAGCATTTGCTATTTGTTGGCTCCATTTTAATACCAAATGCATACTAAATTATCATGCAACAGTCCTAAAGTAACTTGGAATGTGCAGGTGATAAATGATACAATAAAATGAAATACAATTAATATTGATGATAATAATAATAATTGCAATGTAATATTGTGTTTGTAGTTACTCTGGATATATGAACAAACATTGAATTTAATGTAAATTGAGAGAAAATATCTATTTTATAATGTGAATTTTAGTGCTATATGTTTATTCTCTCTATAATTTATGTTGAATGTATCATGTCACATGTACATTTTACTATTATCTTTCTGTAAATAATGCATGTAAACGCAACAAATTTGCTTTTGGACCAATAAATTTGAATTGGATTTGATTGAATTGAATTGAATTCATGTACTTTGATAATCATTTTGTCCCTCTTACCACCAGGGGCATGAGGATATATGTGCAGTCTGTAGGCAGATCGGTGAGCTGCTGATGTGCGATACCTGTAACCTAGTCTACCATCTGACCTGCCTGGACCCGCCCCTTGCCGCTGTACCCCCAGGAGCCTGGAGCTGCCCCGAATGCAAGGTAGTTGCAGTTTCAGTTTTATTTTTAATCTCTAACAGAACAGTCATTTTGACGAGAAATCAGATATACAATTCAATATTCAATAATATAATACATTTTACATGGTTATAAAGTTAAAGTATACATAAATATCCGGTATAATGTTTTTTTTTAAGTTTTTTTAAGATAAACCTGTGGAAATGGAGGGATCCACTGAAAAGCAGAGCTTGTAAAATGTGGATCCCTCAAAATAATGACAAACATAATTTTTGTAACATGTTAATATATTGACTTGAACAAAAATATAAATACAATACATCGTAGATTAATAATACAATTATAAATCTGTAATTTGGAAACTTGTTACGACACGTATATAGCAAAGTGAACGCTGGAAAGGTCAAAAGGGACAATGACGACTGACAGATAAGATATAAATGTATAACAATTATATAGAAAATATATACATGTAAGACAACAGAAAATAAAGCAAGGAAAGAGACAAATGGAAGAATAGAGAATGTAGGATCATAGCTCGTAGAGTAAAGAGAGTTGCGTCACTGGAAGTCGTGCTCATGTATACAGTCAAATTCAGGAATTAATTTCTTGAAATGCTAGAGGTGCCGTGGATGAGTGGATATGTCGCCGGGCTGTCGATCACAAGGTCCGCGGTTCGAGTCCCCCTCAGCACTAATGTCCTTAGGCAAGACATTGATCTACATTTGCCACTCTCCACCCAGGTGTTAAATGGGTACCGGTAGGAAGGAATTCCTTTAAATGCTGTGAGCATTGAAATCGACAGCCTAGCATAGCCGGGTAATGTTGGAGCGCCTTGAGGACCTTGCAAGGTCGATACGTGCACTATATAAGAATCCAATATTATTATTATTATTATTTTAATGGCAGCCATTGTAAAGTTAGGGTAATGATTGTGGAGGGCCAGAAGTGTCAAGTTTGGCAGACATCAGCGCTTTACAAGAACCCAATATTATGCCGGTGTTTTTTTTTTAAAATTATTATTATTATTCTTATAAGGGAAATGCCTACCAGAAAATTGGCAAAACACCTTGGCCATGGTTCATGCCTTTCTCTCACAAATGGGTCTAGAAAAGAATTAGAAAAAGGAGAAATATGAGAAAGATAAGAGAAGATTCATTATTAGTGGATTAAAGGGAGATGTTAATCAGTTTGCATGTGCATTAGATCATAATTTGCTGACTCTGGACTTGGTGGAAATACCATTAATGGTGGGACAAGTCTGCACACAGCAAACCCATAGTCCAATTAAGAGATACCCTCCTAGTCTTTCAGAGAGTCTTCTGGTGAGGGAAATGTAAGAAAGCTCCTTTTCCATAAGGTCATAAAACTGAAGGCTAATCCTGGTGATTGACAACGCCAGTTATCGGCTAAACACCCAAATGGTGTCGAATTCCCCATGAGAGCCCACTACTGTGTTTCTCTTCATAGAGATATTTTTGAAATATCTTTTAATCTTCAATTCCAGGAAGTGTACATTATACACGAGCAGAAAGACCCAAAATCACACAAAAATTAGGAGTCTACTCCGAACTTGGCTAATCCTGTTGATTGACAACACCTGTTATGGGTTAACACCCAAATGGTGTCATTTCACCATGAAAGCCCACTACTTCTCATCATTAAAGGGCTTGGGTTACTTTGCCTCAAATTCTTTGAATAAGAAATGGATTTAGCTCATGCTGCAATCATAATTATAAAACTTTAGGTCATACATAAGTCCCATGACTTATACAAGCCAATCACCTGTCTGATTATCAAGATATCTATGATTGGAATTCAAAATTTCAGAATTTGTTTTTTTAACACTACAGTCTATTGGGAAAAATTAGTATAGTAAAACCAGTCACTCAAAGGTTTTTAATTTTTGAGGCACTTCATGATCATTTTGAAGCGCAATTTTGTTAGGGCTTCAATATTACACCATATCACAGATGCTGGTAACACGTAGGGCCATGCATCTCAGAATTAACATTGTTAAACAATGCCTTTAACATGCCCATTCCATTCCAATTTTTCCCTTGACTGACGCAGTTAAAGGGTAAAGACAAGCCAGAGAACTGGCAGGGCACCTTGGCTGTGGTTCATGCCTTTCTCTCTCACAAACAGTCGATGGAAGACGAGAAGAAGAAGCTCGGTCGCCGGGCGGCGGACCTCCGGATGCAGAGAGTCCAGCTGGAAGAGAAGGCTAAACATCTCAACGATGCCATTACGGTAAGGGCACATTGCAGAAGATCACTGTTATTGTACAGTGAAACCTGCCTAAGTGACCACCTGTATATAAAGACCACATATTTTGTTTCCCTTGAATACCGTTTCTCATTAAGGTATAGACCAGTTTTGGAAATGCCCCCCTCTCAAAAAATGAAATGGAAGCTCTTATTACCAATCATGTGAAAAAATATGTTTTGACTAAAACGTGATGATACAAATTTTGCCGGGAATGCCCTTCAACATATTTGGGCATATATTTCTGCTTTTTTGCGAATTTAGGTTGAAGTATTGCCATCTAAACCTCTGAAGGCAATATTTAAACAATATTGAATGGATATTTTGCACCAAAAACCCTTGAACCGCAATTTTTTCACTACCGGTCTATATCTTTAAAACTATCATTAAAGGAACCTGTACATAAAGACCACCTGTCAATTAACGCCACTTTTAATGTTTCCCATGAGTGTTCTTTATATACAGGTTTCAGTGTATTAATCAGATTATCATCGTCATCATTGAAGTGAATTGTATAACTACATTGCATTTAAACATGTCATGCATGACAGGTAGCCTACTGCACAAAACGAAAGAAAGAAAAGAAAAGAGCCAGAGTAAAGTTGGCTGAATACTGAACCAAATGCTAGATTTCTGTGACAGATTTACTCTCAGCCGATCAAATGCCACGATTTCAGTAGCTTATAACAGCTATTGCAACTTCATATCAATAATGATTTTTATGGACCAGGACCCGTTTCACAAAGCCTTTTTTCAATGACAAATGACAAAATTCAGTGACAAATCTGCAGATAACCAATCAGAAGCAAGGATTTTACTAGCTTATATAAACAAAAACTGTCAATTGTCACTGATGACAAGATTTGTGAAATGAGGCCCAGGTCTGCCCACTATTATGTTAACAGGGGTCCAGACTGAAATTTTGGGTCCCTTTTTGGGGCCTTTGTTTAAATTCCCCCAATTTTTGGTGCCCAGAGGTAAAATCTTGGGGGCCCATGGGCATAAGGGGTGCCTGTAAGTGTCCATCACTGGTTGGGCTAACATTAATTCTGCTAATCTCTCTCTCTCTGTCCCAAACTTTTCACAGAATCAAAGCAAATCAAACGAATCCTTGATGACGTCCTTCCGCAAGACGGAAGCAACGATCACCCAACTCAAAGACTTCCTCACAAGTTTTCAGGTCAAGGTGGAACCCATGATGGAAAGCCAATAACACCAATTGGATCGAAATAGATTTGTATGATTTTTATATCGTTCTTTTCTAGTCATATATATATATATATATAAGTCTGTCTCTTTTTTTTACAACTCAGATCAGACACTAATTTTGAGATAGTATGAGAGGCGTGCTTTTTTTTTAATATGTTGCATTGATGAAATACTCTACATGTAGGCCTGACAAAACCATGGAATATTGTCCAGCTCCTCACCTAGGATTGAATTAAACGCAGCAAGGAATATCATGTTGACAGTACCGTGCCTATTTGAAAGTACTGACTAGTCTTGCCCACATATGCCCATGTAACACCCACTGAATATGCATTCTGTTGTAATGAGTGTTGAGGTATAAGGCTTGTTCAGATGTTGTGCAGTAAACTGGTGCAAAAAAAGCCCTGCCCTACAGCTCAGTAATCGGTGTGTTGATTCACCAATCGAAAACTAGAACAACACTCAAATATGTCTGTCATCTTGGTTTGAAAGTAATCTTTCTATTAGATCTCAATGTGTAGTTTATAATAATTCCTCAAATTTTTCTTCTATTACACACGGCGTACCACAAGGTTCTATCCTAGGTACTCTACTGTTTTTAATTTACATTATTGATCTTACACATTCTTCTAAAAACAACATTTTTACTATTATTTGTGACAAGTTCACAAGCACAAATCGGCACCTTCAACTGCACCTCGATGTTAAATGAAAGTCCTTACCCGCGTGGGTTTTCAGCAACAAAACAAAACAAACAAACAAAAAATATACACGGAGATATACGGTATAACTGCGCGCAAGAAATGTTTGCGCGTAATTACCGAGCTCTTTACGTCATCACAACAACAAACAGCGTTGGTTTTGCTGTGTCATATCTGAACAAGCCTGAAACGTGCATTTAAGTGTATGGAAACGTCTAAGCATGGCACAAGATCACCTTACTGTGGATAGTTGTATGAAATGTTTTTGCCCTGTAATGGGATGGAAGCCATAGGTTCCTTAGCGTATTAACCTTAAACACGCACTCGTTTCATCTGGGACCCGTTTCACAAAGCCTTTTTTCAATGACAAATGACAACAATCAGTGACAAAACTGCTGATAACCAATCAGAAGCAAGGATTTTACTGGCTTATAACAAAAACTGGTATTTGCCAGTGATGACAAGTTTTGTGAAATGGGGCCCTGATGTTAAGTTGAGTACTATAGAGGCGTCAGTTTAGGAGCAGACCATAATTTGTCTCTTCTCTCTTGTCTCAAACAAAAATTGACTTGAAAATGAATATTCAAGTCCCAAGAATCCAGAGTCTTATCCCAAGGCTTAAAAAATGGATTCCTTTCACAGTTAGGCTTACCATTTGGGAAAGGGACTTTTTTTTAACAGGTTGAGGGATAGCAAGCGTATGAAACTGCCAATTGGGAAAACAGGGAACACATATGTGAACAGAACTCAATAAGAGAACAGTAAATGAGTGTGATGTGTCCTCCTCAGTAGATCAGTGCAAAGTAACCCAATGTACATGATTTTTCTGGCAGCATGAATTAGTTTGAACTTTTACTTTCCTTAGTTTTTTTTCTTGGTTGGTTATGGGTTGCTGTGTTGTTTAACTTCTGTTTTTATCAGTATTTTAATCTTTAATTAATCCTCTACCCCCAAAGGTGGTGGCAGGAAGCATTATTTTCTCTCTTTTTTTTTGTTATTAGCATGAATCTGATAGTAGGTAGAAATCTGCAAAACAATTCAAGGTGCTGTTATCATGAAGCATTAAATGTCCCTTTAAACTGTTTGAATGTAAGACTCTTCACTCCTTGATATACTGTGAGCCCTTTGTTTTCAGAAGAATGATTTTTGCCTAATTTTGTTTTGCCAAATTTTGATTTCTTGCCCGCGCTTTTACTCACAGCCACTTGTTATTGAAGAACCAGTATTATATTTGTCCATACATACATGTAGTGTTGTTGTTGTCTGAATGCCTCACAAGGTCAAGGGTTCAAATTCCTGCAACATAATTAGTCAATTACATATTAAATGCTTCTCCTTCTCCTCCCCTTCTCCCTTTCCTCCTCCTTCTCTTCTTCCTTCTCCTTCTTCTCTTCCTTCTCCTTTTCTTCCTCCTTCTTCTTCTCCTTCCTCTTCTCCTTCTTCTCCTTCTCTTTCTCCTTCTCCTCCTCCTCCTCCTTCTCCTCCTCCTTTTCCTCCTCCTTCCCTGCCTCCTCTTTCTACTTTTCCTCCTCCTCCTCGCCCTTCTCCTCGCCCTTCTCCCTCTCCTCTTCTTATCTACTTCTTCCTCATTATTTTTCATAAAATAAAAGTTCAAGTTTGTATCATATTTGATACATATCATGGAATTGCCCAACAGTTGATCCAAAATGATGTCTACCCAGTACCTATATTAATGTTATATGCCTTTATAAAGGAATTTAAAAGTTAAAGGCAATACCAGACTGTCAGCATTATTGTTTGATACTATTCATCGTAATTTGGGTGTGCTAAAGGGGTTCATAAATTAGGAAAGATATATAGGATGTTAAACACTTACGTAATTTATTAATGTTCCACTGGGCCTCGTGAAATTTAAGCATGTATGCCCTGGCTCTATTTTTTACGCTTTCATAATGACTTGATACCAGTCTCAATCGGCCTGAGAATGATTGTGATACCAGTCTCAATCGGCCTGAGAATGACTTGATACCAGTCTCAATCGGCCTGAGAATGATTGTGTCAATTATTTATTTCAGTGCTGTACTTCAAAAATCCAAGATGTTTGGATGGCCAAATACATGCTGCTCCATACAGGCAATGTTATTCCTTGAGTTTATGAAGAGAAGCCAATGTGAAAGTTAGCAGAGATATTCTTAAGTTCAAATCACAATGCTTCATGCAGTTGATCCTATGTGTATTTGGTTTGTTTTCAAAGTCACAAAATGTCCATTGTATTATAGTAGACCCCAACAAATAACATTTGGGAAGAAAGAAAAAAATGATTCTCTTGATTACAAAGTACCTGCAAGTGTAGTGTTAAATTATTCAAAATATAAAAAATTGAATGAATACATTGGACCTTTTAAGAAATGTATCAGAAATACAACTTAAAATTCATTAATTTTTGTTCTTTCTTTCTTTTTCTGAAACAAATAATGAATAATAGAAATATTCTATGCGGGATGTGCAATATGGCTATGAATATGGAGCCTCCTTTCCTTTTAATTTCTATAACCCGAAAGTGGTAACTACAATTAGAAATAGCTCTGGATTGTGATAGCTACCATAGGATAGTTATCATGAGAATAAAGAAACTTTTAATCTACTTGCCAATGAGCAAGTAATAAGAAGAAATTGGAAGAAAATTGAAATACCAGTATTCATGGGATAAGTTTTGAAGGTGTTCTTGTAGTGACCTCATTTCGTCAGCTGCCGTCGAGGAGGCCATAAGATTTGTGTATTGTTAATGGCATGAGAAATGTGTTTATTGATTGTATGTCGGTTATGAGGAGCCACTATAGCTTGGTGGTAGAGCAGTGGTCTCGTAACCAGGAGGTCCTAGGTTCAAAGCCAAGTCCACGAGCCAGAGTCCTTTCGTTTCACATGCTGAAGAATTTCATTCAAATCAATTAAATTCAATTTATTTATATTTCCAACAAAACATTACAAATCAATTATAAACATTTACAACAATTAGGAATACATTTTGGAAACAGAGAGGTCCACTTTGGAAAGGCATTAGTCCTAATTAACAAGTCCCTTGTAGAGGACTTAGAGCTAATAGTCCCCTTGTTGCTTACTTACAACTTACAAGCATACACATGCTTTCTTAGCAGTCAGGCAAAACAAACAAATGAATTCTGACTTAAAGGTGTGCTGATGGTACAAGTTTGTTAAAATTGTAACCCCGCTGTTTCTACTTACAGTTCATTCGTAAAGCAACTTGTGTTTCATACTGTGATTTCCTTTGAGAATTTTGTTCCAACGTGGATAGTAAAAGGTCACAGAAAATATTTTGTATGTGTACAAAATCTTGTTTCATTTTTATTTCAGGTCAATGTACATGTACTTCTTTCAGTGTCATCTACTTATCTGGTCATATTTTATGTTCTAAGCAATCGCTTTTTTTGCATAAATGCATGTTTGCAAAACCAGGACCATTATCTTGGTCCACACAGTAATACACTGAAGTACTTACCAATTTTATTTTAACGGTTGAAGTACTTTCTCTTATTTTTTTCTGCTACATGTATATTGAGTGGAGGTATCATAACATGTAAGGAAATGCATTGTACACAAATGAAGCAAAAGATTACAATTTTATGGGCCGTATTTTGTCAAACCCGTCCAAGGGTCTAAAATCATGCTTGATAAACTTAGACCTCGTACTAACCTCCTTTGCTAAACCTTGTTTATTTTCATTTCATTTATGTATTCAGTTCTGAATACAGTATAAATATCAGCATACATTAAAAGAAATGTATGATGAAAAATGTAAACTGATTTGACAGAACTGAGCGGGGCTCCTTGATAAGCAAAGCTTGATGCCTCGGGAGTCCTAGCAATCAAATATATTACTAGCAACAACAGAAAAGACATAATTAGAGGGTTCCTTGTGATGCCTTAGTCTTTTCCGGCTTTGTTCATGTATAGAGACTTGAGTCCACTGTACATTACACCATCTGACCGGGATCCGATTTTGGAAAAATTTACAATAGCATTTCAATTATGACACTTCAAGTTGGCTGAATCAGTAATGGTATTGTGATGTAGTGCCGGAAAACTTTCCCATTTGTTCCAACACACAAAATAATCCAAGTGTCATATTTTTCAAAATGTATGACTCTCGAGTGTCTTTTCTTTACAGAGGACCTTTGATAATATACCATCCACAATTTATTTTGAATAGTGCCCCAAGCAAGAAGGCACTTAAGAAAAAGTCAGATATTATTGATATTTTTGTATGCGACAAAAAGAAGACTTATCCCTGACTATTTCACAATTTTAATGATTGTTTTGAGAGGTGCATAGCCATAGTGATCTCATATTTCTAACATTTATAACTCTTTTATTATTGGACGATGTATTTTAGATTTAAGCCTTTCTATTACTCTTATTTTTCTGCTTTTTTCATGCCAATGAAGTTATTTATTACGAGGGTAGGATTGCCCTCTGCGTTTTCACTGTACTGCCATTTGATTAAATATGCATGGATAACGAATCCACATAACGCAAGATTTATTTCCAATATTGTTTTCTTATTTTGCATATCGCACGATGCACCCTTAACTGTGCAAGTAGATATACCATGACTAATAGAATCTTCCAAACTTTTCTAGAAAATTGGACTAATATTTCCCAATTCTCCAGATAAGAAAAACTTATAGATAAAAACTATAGCATTTTTCTACGTTGATGCATTTTTTTATACAAGACATTGTACATTCATATATGATACTAGTATGTTGTACTTGTATGTGTGTAGTCTCCTTTTTGTTTTTGTATGCATAAAATGTGTTCCATTTGGGGGAGGTTGTTGATTTTCCAGTGCCTTTTATACTTTTGGAGGGAGTCAAAATATCATTTGGAACGAGAAGGACGCTAACTTTATCTTTTACACAGATTTAACGACCTTCTGGCTCCAAAAAGTGTAGTAGTTTCTACATATAAAGTACTGTACAGTTATATTGTCCAATGTACATTGTGTATTTATTATCGTTCTCATAGGTACTTGTACACATTCAAATGTCTGTTAGTTTGCAATAATTGATAATAAAGTTGATAGTTGATGTTTCTTCTTTTTTTTTCAACTTGGAATTGAAGATGTTGCGTGCCATACGGTTGTATTATTTTGTTGGTCATAAAAGGGAAAGTGTGGCATGGTATCAAGGAGAAACAAGTGTGAGGAAAGTTGTGAGAGTATGAGAGAAGTAGAGGGATTATTATTATCAATATCATCCTCTTTTAATCAAAAGAGATCTCTTTGATGCACATCTTCCTTTCTCTCTATGTCTCTATCTCTTTCTCTCACTCACTTATTCTGCCCCCCCCCCCCCATTCTCTCTCTTCTGTTTCTTTCACTCTCTCTCTCTCTGTCTCTCTCCCTCTCTCCCTCTCTCCCTCTCATCTATATCTTTCTCTTCTGTATCTCTTTCTCTCTCGCTCTTCTATATCTTTCTCTCTCTCTCATCTATATCTTTCTCTTCTATATCTCTCTCTCTCTCTCTCTCTCTCATCTATATCTTTCTCTTCTGTATCTCTCTCTCTCATCTATATCTTTCTCTTCTGTATCTCTCTCTCTCTCATCTATATCTTTCTCTTCTGTATCTCTCTCTCTCATCTATATCTTTCTCTTCTGTATCTCTCTCTCTCTCATCTATATCTTTCTCTTCTGTATCTCTCTCTCTCATCTATATCTTTCTCTTCTGTATCTCTCTCTCTCATCTATATCTTTCTCTTCTGTATCTCTCTCTCTCTCTCTCACCTATATCTGTCTCTTCTATATCTCTCTCTCTTCTTTATCTCTCTCTCTCTTACTCTCTTTCTCTCTCTCTGTATATATATTGATACATATTTCACTTCTTCTTACATCTAAAAACTACAAATCTTCCACACAAAGACATAATTGGTATTAAATAATCCTACAGAACACAAAGCTCACTTTTAGTTGCACTTTATTGTTTAAATAGTAACTTACAAATGTATTTCCCATCCTCGGTTTTGTTTTACCATTGGCAAAAACTAAGGCAAATTATAATATTTTGCATTTCAAATCAGAAACCTTTACAAATTACGTACATCTTGACAATAACATGATTCTAGTATATGTTTAAGAGCTTGGGCAAACCTTTCACATTTTAACACCAAAATCATAAGAAAATTTATGAATCACATTCATTAGAACCACCATAATATTTGGCAATGTTTTTCTGTGAGGTTGTTTTACTAGACATAATAAATTTTACTACTTTTAGATTACATGTATATCATTGGCTCAACAATTACTCAGGAAAATTTAATTTGTATAAAATATTTAGTATAACCCTATAATAATCATATATATATATCTAAATACATTTCGTCAATTCTTACTCTTCAAGAGCAAATCTTTTTGAAATGAAACAAGTTAAAAGGAGGGATCAGGTATAATGCTTTTACAGTGGAATGTTACTAACGTGTTCACGTTTTTACAAGTAATTAAACAAAACTAATTTCCTAAGAACACTGCAAGATGATACTTGACCATTCTGAAACAATTTCAATGTAAGACTTTCAAACGTACATGTTCAAAAGTATAATATATTGTGTGGACTAGAGGTATTTTTCCTCCATTTTGAAATAAAAATAAAGGTACAGTGCGAAGGATGCTCATGAAAAGATATTTCATACAGAATTTGACTATGACACAAAAAATTCAAACCATGAAAGTACCCTTTTTCTGTCAAATTGTTAATAAACGAATTATTGGTAGAAAAGAAAAGACAATATGCTTCACAAAATGTCAAGAGTTTGTACAACCCTATCAATTGAATTGAAGGAATATATTTGATTGCCAACAAACTCATTTTGAAGATATATCATAAATTTTAAAAAAAGAAAGCGTAGATACAGGCCTTTCGTACACTATGCCCTTATCAAATACATAGATGTGTACAAATATTTACAAGCGAATCGCTTCATGTATATTACAACGAAAACCGTGAGAAAACCCAAGTTATATGCTGCCGTACAAAGCCAGTTATATACATCATTTGCAAACGCAATATATTATTTTACAACTTTACATGTTGGTTTTTAACAGATAAAAAGAGAAATACAATAAATGTTAATAGAATAATGAATTTTTAACCATTTTTCACACCAAAACCCATTGTGGCCATTTTCTCAAATCATTTTGAAGTACATGATTCGGTTGGCTTACCTCATAAGTTAGACTACTCTCTATACAATGAATTATGAAATTAGGGAACCGATCATAAAAAAGACAAGACCCTTCATGGCACCCAAAAAATAAAGAACAGATAATTTGGGGCAATTCGTCCCTGAAAAAAATTCCTCCTTCCCACATCTAACACAGGAGCATCTGTCTTTTTGAAAGAAATATCTTCCTCTTAACATATTATGCAACAGACTTCCATTCCATAGCTTCATACACAGTTTGAAGGTGGGATCAACTAGCACTAAATTCAAGTCCAGCCAATTTCAAGATAAAACGATGAGGATAAACATTTCAGTTGTGTTATCAAAGTGGAGGTACCGGTAAATATTTAGTGCATAAATATATTTTGTACAAAACAGATTGCTAAACCTTCAACTGGTTGGTCGGGAGCTGCCGACCTGACCTGACCTTTCAAATCTTCTTCATGACTGGAACACTACGAGACAAATTACATTCATAATTCAAAATGGATATAACTTTCTACAGAAAGCACAAAATTACATTTTATCAATAAGTAACCCCAAGATTAAGAGTATCCACTATCATATGATAAAATAATAACAAAATTGATACAATGCAATATATCATTCTACAATAATTCTCCACTAAATGAGTTTCATAGAATCACAAATGCACTTTTGATGAAATTTATCAAAAACAAAGCTGAACTCCTAGCAAGTTTTTCACACACAATCTCCAACACATATAGAAGAAAAATGTCAATTGTACAGTACTAGAGAGAAAGGGATACCCATAGCACATTGAGAGACATAGCTGCAACACATGGAAGTGTACACGTTCATAGGTTAAGTCATGGAGCTCCTAACAGTTCCCTGTTCCCTCCTTTGTACAATCTCTAAGGGAACTGCAGAGGATCCATTTTAATGACTGACCAATCAGAGACAAACTCTGGTGATGCAACTATGTCTCTAAGATAGCTATGATTTTGCCCTATGAGCCTGGAAAGAGATCCAGAAACGTGCTCTAACTCCATACACGCTGCAAAACTTGAAGCCCTCAAATAATTGTCGGGACCTAAAACCGATTAATAACCTCAAAACTGGAATCCCAGAAGAAAGGAGAAAATTGACCAATCAAAATGACATCTTGGAAAAAAGGTATTGAAGTTACTCTAATGATGATTCTGCCCAGTGTATGCGACCGCGCATTCAAATCAAACAAAAATAAATACCATAGCTAAGATTGTCTGTCTAGCATCTTAAATATACTTCACAGACCACAGATTTTAACACCAGTGAAAAATGCTTACATAATCATCAACTTTGAAATTTGCATGCACATAAATTATCCAAGTCATGACTCATGCTCTTGTGCCTGAGTTTTCAAATCATGGTGATTTTCATGAGCATCTATAGAGAGAATCATTGTAAGTTTACTGTACTTTTTTCTCTCCCACGAGTGAATAATTTACATGTCATTACTTGAAGACATAAATAGAGAAGTGTCGGTACGTCGGGACTGAAGAATATAGTAATGTAGATGATAACCCTTCAGAGTGCAAGATATGCTGCACGTATGTTCTTTGCGCTTGATCCCTACGCTAAACCTGACAAACTTGTCTGGAAACAGTCTAGGTCCTGCTCACAAACACTCCTCATCTTAAATGGAGGAGCTTTACTCAACAAAAAGAAGGGAAAAAAAACGTGTTAGTCAAACCTGTCTTTGTGTTAAATGCTCTGTACAGGCCACCCTTCTACAGTGTTCGTATGTCTACTAATAGCCAACACCAATATTATCTTTCTAGAGAAAGTAACATGCTTGATAGAGCCTATTCAGAAAGGCCACCTACAACGACCACTCCATCGGTCTACCTCATCGAATTAGTACATGTATTAGGACTGCTTCAGAAAGACCACACGTCTACAGTGGCCACTTTACTGGCCGTCTAGAGTCTAGAGTCAGTGCAGGAAATATAGAAGTATACAACATCTAGCGAGGTACCATCGACCCTCGACGGAGCATTGCACGTCAGAAATAAAGAAGACGAACACCGCTTCAGTTCATGCTATACAAATGGCGGGATCGTCCAATCATCAAAAGACTGGCACCACGGTTGTGGCGCCCTCGTTGGGTCGCTCGCGCTCAATGGGTGCGAGCGATGGTGCTCGTCACGCGGCAGTAGCGCAGGAATCTGAAGAAGATGTTGATGACAAATGCCCAGAGGTTGCGGGCGAGCTGAGAGCGGGCGATGAGAACACGCCAGAAGACGACTAGGAGAACGGTGTTGAACGTCCATCGGATGTTACGCAACCTGAAGGAAGACAAGAGAGCAGCAATGCAATCAATCATCTTATTAAACCCAAAAGGTACGAAAATTATCTTCTGTTCAGGGCCTGTTTCATAAAACTTGTTATCAATAACAAGTTACAAGCTACTGTTATAAGCTACTGAAATCCTTGCTTCTGATTGGTTATCAGCAGATTTGTCACTGATTTTTGTCATTTGTCATTGAAAAAAGGCTTTGTGAAACGGGTCCCTGATGTAGAAGGGCATGAACCCTGTCTTAAAGGTACTATGTCCCATATGCAGACCTAAAAAATGAGAAAAGGTTAAATTCAAACGGCATTTGAAAGATAATACAAATTAGAACTTCCCTTAAAAAAAGGGGGGGGGGGGGGCTTGAAAATAACGACTATTAGTTGTCGAATCGACCTTAGAGCTATAGAGCCTGTATGTAATAGTCTGATTTTCAGACCATTGTACCGAATGGTCGTACGTTTTATGCTGCGCAAAGATTAAATCAGTTTAATTTTGTCCATTACAAGAAGTGGGTTATTGATGTAGACTTATGCTCGTGAACCCTTTACAGCTCATTTTATGTATGTTATTACCAAAGAAGAAAAAAGCCAGTCGGTCACTCAATAGTGTCTGACAGTGCAGTCTAGCAAGTAAACGGTTTCCTTGCATAATTTGAATATTAGGACACTGCTAATGTTTAAATTTCACAGATAGGACATACATGACATATTAATAATTCCTGCAAAGTTCTACAGAATTTGATGTTGGCTGCAAAAGGGACATAGTACCTTTAAAGGATGCAAGTTAATATCCTCCTAGCTCAGAACACACATAATGACATGTCAGTATTTTAGCAGATGCTGTTTATCTACACATGTAAATATATGGTCAGACAAAATTAGTTTATGAAAAGGGTGTCATAGAGTTAAAGATGAAGTTAAGCTGTTACATGTCATATTAAGAATATGAAGGCATTTGAAGAGCCATGCTTTTCAGGGAACATGTCTCATCTGATGTTCTTCCACACTTGCATAATAAGAATGATAACGCTCTCCCCAGAACTCAACCTTCTCATTAAATCATCATTATTCAATATTATGTTCCAAGAGGGTGTCTCACAAAGATTCTAAATTGAACTTATCTCTAATTTGGACTAAACAATTATGAAAAGCATCTATGAAAATATATTGTAAAAGTTATTTTAAGAGGCATAAAATGTTTATTCAAATCATTCATATTTCCTATTATCAAGGAGATTTCATGTTCTTGATGTGGAATTTATAAAAAGTCCTGAAATTACTTCATTTTTCGCTTTTGAATATATGTTATTTTGAGGCTACAAATGGCTTTCCGTAATATCTAAGTCCAACTTAGAGTTAAGTTTGGCTTAGGATCTTTGTGAAACACCCCCAGGAGTATAATGACTGATATGAGTGCTTACATTTTGAGATGGCTGCGTGCTGCCGGGATGTCATTCATGTCTTCTTTAAGAACGTATTTCTTGGTGCCAAGGCAGTAGGCTTCTAGGTAGGTCGGCCAATGGAGTGGTCTCACGTCCGTGAAGTACACCTGCAAAAGTAATAATAATCAAAATAGTCACATTTGTATAGCACTTAAAGCGGGACTGCACTAATTGTAGCTACTAGCGCCCTCTATATATAGCAAATAATGCCTATGCAGTACCCGTTGGTCCCCCAAGGTCCCCTTTTTCTTATGTTCATTGAGAGCTGATTTAATGAGATAACAACCTGTCAGTGACCACGCAGGGAGGTCTAATCCCTCCTTGCCAAACTAGTGCAGTGGGGCTTTAATACTACTTAATTTCTAAGGGCTTTACATTGTCATAATTATTATCATCTCGGGCATTGGATTCAACAACTAATCTGACCATGACAGTACACACGCTCCACTCCCTGGGGAGTATTCTTACCAGGCACCATAGTACAAGCGCACACATGCAAATCCAACCACGCCAACCTTTGCATCCTACCGGGTACAGTTTGGACACCTGGGTGGAGGGTGGCAAATGAAAACTTATGTCCTGCCTAAGGAAATAAGTGCCATGACTTGACTTGGATATTGCAGGATATATTTTTGCTCATGGGGTAGATTAGGAGTGCCGTCACCCCGATCAGAGCCGTCTATACACAGAGTTTGGCCAAGGCGGTTCGAGTCGAACACAATACGGCGACTATACTGCGTTGTTGGGCAAGCACAAAACAAATGAATATACGCCATGTTGTGACCCAGTGAAACCAAGTTGGCCCAACTCTGTGTATAGATGGCTCTGGTCCGTCCCGATGGTAAACCTACCTTCCTATCCTCCTCGCTCATAGCGGCCGAGAGGGCTATCGTGTTCTGATTGGTCCACTCCCATGTGTTGTTGGTGAAGTACTTCAGAGTGTGCACCATCTTGGTGATCTTGCTGTTTACCTTCATCATCCTGCACAAAAAAATTCAATAAATCTCATCACCAATCACAGACCTACAAATCTATTATTACAACATTTACCTTAAATATCCTTTAAAAGATATTTATCCAACACAGGTCATTACTATTTTAGACTGAACATTTAGGACAAAATCTTTCTGTTTTGTGTTTTCTCTTTCTCTCGCTTTCAGTCGTTTGCTCTTTCTGTTCCTCCCACACTTTCTTCCTCTCTCTCTCTCTCTCTCTTTCTCTTTCTTTCTCTTTCTTCCTCTCTCTCTCTCTCTCTTTCTTCCTCTCTCTCTCTCTCTTTCTTCCTCTCTCTTTCACCATCTCTCTCTTTCTCTTTCTTCCTCTCCCTTTCTTTCTCTCTCACTCTCTCTCACTCTTTCTCTTTCTTCCTCTCTCTTTCTTTCTCTCTCTCACTCTCTCCCTCTCTCTTTCTTCCTCTCTCTCTCTCTCTCTTTCTGTTTAAGCCTGAAGCCACTATCACTGGTGCATCTACGTCAGAGTACTTTCATAATACTTACTGAGGTTTCTTTCCTTGTAACCTTAGGACGCAATCCATGATGTATGCTGGGATCTTAGCACTCACCAGGTTGACATATTCAAAGGCTAGTCTGTTGATAGAGCATAACAATGCAATATAAGTCTGTGCACAACAGTGTAATGGGGTACCCGAGTACACTCCCAGGCTTACAAGCGAATACTTGAATATTCGGACGCCATGTTTTTTTATAATTTTTTTGAATTTTTTAAATTTTTTTTTATTCTTGACCAGTCAGTGCATTATTATATATTTTTTTGTATTAAAAGTGATTTCTATTGGTCATAACAATATTTTTAAACAAACTTTTTTGTCCCTTTTTATTACAAGTATTTGGAATGTATTTTATATAAATCATAAAAGATACACAACTGATAAATACTTTTTTGTGGGAACATAGTAATACATAAATACATAGATGTAATGTGTTCTTACGGGTATTTAGTGAGTGCTGCTCTGGGCCGTCTGAACACCTTCTCGAGGGAATTCTGTTGTAGAGGTCTGGGATGATTTCTACGATAAAAGAATAATGAAATAGAGATACGCAAGATTAAGATTAAGATTCAAATTGAACAAGCTGAATAAAAAAAAGTACTAGCTGAGTCATTATCATTCTCTTTTCATGACAATTCAGCGACAACTAAAGACCGGGGGGAAGTAAATTCCGGCAATTTTTTACTGGCACTATGTATATATACACCTTTCACCTGCACACCTGGGCATCCCTATGTCGCCACACACATGCACTTGCACACATCTGCAAGAATCTTCAGGAGTGAAGGAGGCAGATTATTTTGAAGAAGAAGACATCTATCATTTCTGACAGTTGTGCATATGAGACAATCCTATGAATTAATTCCTGTTACTCAATAATATTTCAATTCAGCACCAGAAGGGAATTAAATCTCTGTTAAAGTAAATGAGTTAACGCCGTTCTGACACCAAACAGGCAACATTTACCTCCAAAAATATGAAATTCTACACCAATGACATACATAATTATTGACAGAAATACATTCTCTGAATAAATTCAACATTAAATCCTCTAAATTCCGGTAAAAGAACATTTAGAAATTGCTTTTGTTCGACTTACCTACGTCTCCCCATCTGTTTGGGTTGACAGGACTGGTGACCAAGTTGTAGATTGGGATGTTGGCAGGTCTGTGTATAATGAACATATCGAAAAGGGATACCAGTTTTATTCCTCATTCTAAATGTACATAGAATGAATGCTGCAAGGACATCACTGATTTCTACTATACAACAGAATACACGGAGCTGATAATGCAGCCTTCTCCTCTGCTGCTACCAAACTTGGTACAGTCTCTCTCCTCAATTGAAATCATCACCAACAGTAGAACAATTCAAACAGAGTTTGAAGATATATCTATTTAGAAACCACATATGCATTCAACAAATTTTGGGAATAATACAGGGCCCAATAATGAGCCTTGGGGTACTCCCATCTAATGTCCCTTTCATCGGAAGTATAGCCGTTTACAGAAGTAAAATGTAATATATAATCTGAAAGTCATATCGTCACTGCTTGGGAACCAATATACACATTCTAACTATTTTCAATGATTTTACGCCATTTTTGGAATCTGAATAGTATTTTTGACAAGAGAACTTTGATCCACTTACTTATGGACACCTGTATGCCACGTTGCACCGATCATTGCATTGACTACAAAATCAACGGGAGAGATGTCGACGACAGCGTCCGCGTCACCGATCATCGTCCTCAGCAAGCCTTTGCCGACCTACAGGAGTGATAGCAAATGGTTGAAGGTTAGTGCTTCAAGTTCAAAGTACAGTGAAACCTGTCTATAAAGACCACTCAAGGGAGACAGAAAAGCGGTCTTTATGTACAGGTTCCTTTAGTACATGTTTCAAAGATAAACCATTTTCAAGGGGGGGGGGGAGTTGTCTTTGTAGACAGATGGTTGCTAAAACAGGTTTGACTGTATTATCAAATTAAATTAAAGAGTGAATTTACTGTAAGCTCATACCAGAAGAAAGAACAAAATAGACATTTTCCAACAAGTACTTCTCTCTATAATCTTTTTGTCGAACTACAGGAAGAGTAGGAGGAAAGCATAGAAGATTAGTGCTTCAAGTTGGAAGAAATATCGGCTGATATTCATACTAGCAGACTTTAGTTAAAGCTGGGCCGTGTTTCACAAAGCCTTTTTCAATGACAAATGACAAAAATCATTGACAAATCTGCTGATAACCAATCAGAAGCATGGATTTCACTAACTTATAACAAAAACTGTCATTTGTCACTGATGACAAGTTTTTATGAATTGGGGCCCTGGTTTGACTAATTCATTGATGGTTCCATTTAGATAAACCTACTTTGAATTAGTTAATTTATCTATGGAACAAGTGTCAAGCTCTTTTTGATTTACTCCATTGATGGTTTAACTTGGTAAATACCCCCAGACCTTTTTTTTAATCCTTGCACAACCCTCTCTATTAAAGGCAGTGAGTGGTATCAACAGCATGTGGCAAGTGGTGGATATGCAGATGCTATATTCCCTTTAAAGTTCAGGGCACAAATATTCTTTCTCAAATAATGGGTTACTTACAGCGATAAAGACTCCACTTGGGCCATTAAAGTTATCGATCCATCCCTGAAAAAAATATAAAAACAAAACAAGAATAATACAGATGTACTGGAGAAAAAAAATCGGTTTACTAGCAGATTGAAGATTTCACATTCAATAAAAGATTGAAGATTTTCTTGTATGTATGTTCACAACTTTACATTCAACCATTAGTTATTTGTGCACCCAATGACTACTGGATTCATTTATTCCCATAGGCACACTCCATCCTTTCCTGCCTAGAGCTTGTATCATCTGTTTTGATACCATCTAACATCATAACTCTTTCCTTCCATCCCCTCCCCCTCCCCCCCCCCCCCCTCAATGACTATTGTTAAGAAACTTAAGACTTACGGGGAAAGGTTCCTTCCACGATGCCCCGACGATGGACGGCCTTGTGATGCAGATTGGCATGCCCTTGCCTTCCTCCATAACGACGTACTCTGCAAGAGCCTTAGTGAAGGTGTATGTGTTTGGTCTCTTCCCCAGGAGCTTGGGGGTCAATGTCTGGATCATGTCTTCTGACATCCATCTGCAACATTAAGAATGTGTTTAACAATGTTTTCAGTTTCACAAATCTGAGATGCATGGCCCTACGTGTTATCAGTGTCTGTGATATGGTGTAATATCGAAGCCCTACAAATATTGTGCTTCTCCAATAGATTGTAGTGCTGTTCAAAACTGTTTGGCAAATGGTTTTGACATTTCTAATTCCAATCATAAATATTTTGACAATCAGACAGGTGATCAGCTTGTAAAAGTCATGGGATTCCTGACTGACCTTTGGGTTTATAAATTATGATTGCAGCATGAGTTAAATCCAGGACTTGTTTAGAATCAGAGGCAAAGATACACAATCCCTTCAAGAATATGTTTTTCATTAGGCCTTGTTCAGAAGCGACGCAGAAAAAACGTGGAGTTTGATTTATGATGTAAAGTGTAACTGCATCACATTTCTATATCCTATAACAAGAGCTCAGTAAAGACTCGCAGGAACTTTGTTGCGTGCAGTTACCATTTAGAATGCAAACGTGTCTTATAATGCAATTTGAACGAGAAAAATATCTTGGAACAGGGAAAAAATTAATATTTATTTTTCGGGGGCTACTTTTCAAGCTTGCCTGCATAAAATATCACTCTGAAATTTGTTTTGCATTGAACTTTATGCAAATTTATGGGGGCTCTTTTCTGATTTTCGGGGGCTCTTTTGGGCATTTCGGGGGCACAGTTGCCCTGAGCCCCCGTGTATTTTTTTTATTGTCTTGGAATGTTTGGCTCATGGTTAAACAAGGTGTCACAGGGGAGTTACTTACTCTACGGCATCCAACATCTTGTATGGGTCGACGGGAGGAGGGTAGACGACTTCTTCTATCCTCGATCTGTCGCAATTGGCATAGGCAGTTGAGACGTGTTGAAATACCTGCAAAATAAGAGGAGGGAAAGTGTTATAACTTGCGAACACAGTGCGATATCTTCATTATCCATTATTATTTTCTATAAATTAGGCTTCCAAGTGGTAGAATAATTCAGTGTATTCAATATCTTTAGCGGAGTACCCAGATGACTGACCAATATCGTTTTCGTATTGCTCAGTCATCCTGGAACTTCCAACTATCGATATCGATATCACAGGAAAACAAAGCCATATTTACTGAGGTACATGTAAGTCTAATTTTGTTATTTCGCTAGCCAGACCGATATCAGTAGATAATAATAATATTATATGACCTCGTTTTTGTGTGTTACAAGAATATATTGCTCGAGCAATTGTCCAATATTGTCATAGCTCAAGCAATATATTCTTGTATCACACTCAAAGCCATCCAATATTATATAAATATACAAGGAACACAATGAAATATTCCTCTGATTCATGAAATAAGATGCACCTTAGATTGGTCACAGGTCTGTAAAAAGTGACCACTTGTAAAGAAAATTCATCACCGGAGCTTGTTTTGTATTGCTGTCAAAAAATAAGATTGCAGCACAGAAATTTGAATGTATTTCTCCCTTTTTGCTTTCTTTACCAGAGCGCTTTTCAAGCTTTACAGAGCTAAAAAAAACTCCAATGCTTTAATTTTTCCCAGGGCTACAGGTTATTAAAGACCGCTTTCTATCATATTGCAGTTCTGGGAGGTGTTTCACAAAGATCCTAAGTTGAACTTATCTGTAAGTTGGACTTAAAATTATGGAAAGCCATTAGCATTAGCATCTATGACAATATTTTGTAAAAAGTTATTTTAAAAGGCATAACATGTTGATTCAAATCATTCATTATTTCAATTATCAAGGAGATATCATTTTCTTGATGTGGAAGTTATAAAAATTCTAAAATACTTGAATTTTCACTTTTGAATATATTTTACTTCAAGGCTTTAAATGGCTCTCCATAATATTCAAATCCAACTTAGATTGAGTTCGACTTTTAGAATCTTTGTGAAACACCCCCTGACAATGTAAGTTTGAGAAATGTTAAAACGGGGAATATTAAAAAACATGTAGACATGTATTTACCAGTAATTTCTTCATCCCTTGAGCCAGTTGGAGGATCTTTTTGGTGGCGTATACGTTCAGGTGTAGGGAGAGCCTGGGTTGGGAAATGAAGTGAAAAATTGGGTTAAAACTATTGTGAAACTTTATACACTATATCAGTCATTTATTTTATTAGGCACTAGGCAATGATGTTTTTGCCAGCTCTATTGCACGCCTTTTTCTCTTTTCATTTGCAAAATTCATGCTTTCAAGTCACATACACATATATTCAACAATTTTGTATTCATGTCAATAGTCAAGTAAATCATGATTTAAGGGAAAGAAATATGATTATTCTCTTCTCCCCCCCCCCCCTCCCTCCCCTTCCCTGTTAAAATGTGTACAATGTTCACAAACTCCATCGTGACAGTTATAATGTACATTAGAAACCACCTGTATAGAAACCACCTGTATAGAGACCACCTGTCTTTAAAGACAACATTTTTGTTTTCCCTTAAATATGGTTTCTCATTGAAACCTGTACTAAAGGAATCTGTACATTAAGTCCCCTGCCTATAGAGATCACTTTTCTTGTCTCCCTTGAGTGGTCTCTATGTACAGGTTTCACTGTATAACTCTTGTCCACTATCAAAGTCATAATCAAAGTCATTGTCTACAAAGTGACTTCCACAGTTTTATAAAATGCAACCAACGCACAACGGTCAGGCTACTTAAACCCACTCTAATCCTCTGGTTGATTGTGCAATCTTGAAGCTGAACCAGATAAACCCTCACCTACATGTACATGTATAGACTTAATCTTAACCATTACTAGTTGCATTTGCCGGTGGTACTGCATCTGCACGTGTATCCTTAAATGTTATCTGCAACCAATCTGGTCTTGTTTGCAGGAAGACCGGTGTCCGCATATTGGGTGACTCCTTAATCTGGTGTATTTATATAATAATCATGTCTTTGTGCAGTATTAGATGACCAAAATGGTTAATGATTGATAATGCAGGATAAAATTAGATCTTTTCTTTCGTTTGAGGGTGTGATGAATTAAGCAAAGAGAAGATAACAGGAGGATTACAATTAGATGTAGATGCATTGATGTATTCGGAGGGGGGGGGGGAGTTAAAACCTATTACATGTATGTAAGGTTGGTCTCTTTTTGTCTAGATTGCAAAACTTTTGAAACACTAGCTGTAGCTAAAGTTAACGTACACAAAGTATCTTTCACCTGCACTTCATTATTGCACATTAAACTGGATGACTGCATTCAAATTCACTGTATGCTAAATTGCTATCAACAGCTCTTTACATACATGTATATGCATGATGTCAGGACATATAAACATCTGTTCCATTTCCGGATCTTTTTCATGCATATTATATGAAAGTCATTTATTAAAAATTGGACAGTACAAAACTACCATACCATAAAAGTCATTTTTCACTCCATATCACAATGCTAATTTAGCAACATTGGACTCTGGAGTTACATGTTTGCTTTTGCAGGATCTAATGTTTGACAAAGAATGCAGCTGCAAACATTTTATTCCTGCAGCGCGTCGTCAAAGTAACCAGATGTACATAGACATGGTATGTTGTATGGTTTTGGTGGTAAAGCCTACCTGTATATATAAATCAATTATGTTAAATCTGACAGGCTGTATTTTTTGTTTAATAATGGCAAGTGCAAAAGGTACATGAGGGAGGGAGGGAGGGAGGGAGGGAGGGAGGGAGGGAGAAAAGGAGGGGGAGGGGAGAAAAGGAGGGGGAGTGGAGAAAGGAGGAGAAAGAGATACTTGTCATGAATTAAATGTACAAGGTCTTTGATGAAATATACCAAATCTCAATTTATTTCTACCCTGAAACACCCTCAAATGTCCAAATATCTACAGTGCCGTGAAAAGTCAGCTTGCCAAATGAAAATTCATGTTTTTATGCATTTAAATCACAAATCAAGGTGTAACCCATGTTAAACCAAGCATAAAGTAAACCATTTTACCGGATTAAGGTGAATTGTTTTGCATAGCACTTTTTTGTGCATGTATTGTGTATGTGTCCATGAATATGAAAAAGCATGAAATTGAAAGTTTTTCAAATTTGTGCATCTTATAAGACAGATCTCAGTGAACATGCAGAGGAAATTGGTTGCCATTCATTTACATGTTCAAATAAAAGCAGCGGGCATCAGATCTAAGTCATCCTTAACTCTACATGTTGACCTTTAATCTGATAAATACCAAGCCTAAATAATCAAGGAAGGAAGCTTAAATAATCGGGAAGGAAGCTGTGGAAATTTTTACAAAATCAAATAGTACCGAACAGGTTATCGGAAATATACATGTACATGTACATGTAACATACAAAGTCAGAGACATTTGATCCGTCATTCTTACATGCTTCGCCTGTATGCTTCTTCGGTATCTTCAGACGCTATTATCTGTCTGATATTCTGATATAACAGTCGGACCATTTTTTTTTCTCATTCTTTCATACTGCTTGAGTGATAAGAAATTGAAATAGGCAAACACTTCTTATGATGAGTCCGCCCAAATGTACATACCTATATTTGTTTTTTAATAGTAGGACACTTGAAGTCTTGAAGATCATTGACTGAAACTTAAATCGCAGAGGTCATGCTTGTCATTGAGTAAGATTGTTCAACTAAGTCAAGAAATACTGCATGTGCTGTTAATTTCAACATACTGTACCGGCAAGCAGAGAAAAGTCTAAGATAAGGTTTTGTGAGAGAGAGCTGCTTTTTAAAACAGGATATCTAATAATGCAGGGCTGGCCACTACCCGGGGCACATAGACGCCTAAAATATGAGTCCAGGCCTGTAACATTTTAAAGTTTTTTACATAGGACTTATGCAAACAGACTGTAAAAGGTTTAATCTGAGCCCCCTTCCGAAATAGTTAGTGTGGAGCCCCTTCTAACGCAAAATTAATCATAGCAATCAGAGCAATTTAATGAACTTTTAATCTACAAACTAAAATCTAAAAGAAATGTTGTCATACCTGTAGAAGCCCACTACCCCCCCCCCCCCACACACACACACACACACACACATACATACACACAACCAGGATTAACAAAAAATGGAATTTCGAATGCACTCCTCAGTCAATCGTAGGTACAATGCGGTACATGATGAATGCAAGTTTGTAGTCCATACTTAGATTTGCTTCTGTTCGTTATCCAACAAAAGATGCTTGCAAGTACATGTCTAAATTTGTACTTACGATAATTTCTCATCGAATCTGACGGTGGCGGCGACGTGGAACGCGAGCTCTGTTTCCTCTTGTAGCGTCTTGATATCTTCTTCCTTCAAGGCAAGGTCCGGTTCTGTCAGGTCGCAATCGATGGCGATCAGTTTGGACTGGAAGTTGGGCTGGGCTTCCCTCACTTTGTCGAATAACTGTGGAAGAAGGAAAAAATATCAACCGTTCAGAAGCAGAAGTGATGCAGCAAAGCTACTTTGTATAGTCAAACCTGTCTACAGTGGCCACTTTTTCTGTTTCCCTTGAGTGGCCTTTATCTACAGGTTTGACTGGATTTGTACAGACATGATAAAGTTGAAGTAATTCAGTAATACTATGCCCTCTCATAGGAAAGAACCTATCTACGATTCTCAAACATTAATTGGATAACAAGGAAAGAAGATGTTTGGGGAAATTTTTCTGTATTGATAGAAGAAAAATATGAAACTTGTACAACCCGTTTGACAAAAACTTGCTTTCCTTGACTAAGTATAGCAGTGATTATATACCTCACTTAAGAAATCCAGCCATCTGATTGGTCGAATTGCATTCATAAACTTCAACTGTTCCTGTAAAATTCTCGGTAACCATGCATAAAACATTTCAATATTTTTAATAACCATGGTTATTAAAAAAAGTTGGTCAGCGTCCATGGTTACCCCATAGGTTTACATGTTAAAAAATGGTTTGAGCGATGGAGGATGCCGTATGTGTGCGAAGGATTGGTCGGTAATTTCAATACAATTGAATCTCGATCGATCTTACCGACAATTTTATCTTGCATTGTTGACATGAAGACGAAAATAAACTTCCAAAAACAAAAAAACAACATCTGCCGATAGATCTTGATCTAAGTTCGTGCCAATATGCATTGCAAAAGTAAAAGAAGAGTCCGTATATGGAGCTTTTGCGAAGCATTCATCACACGCGAAGCCGGTTTCAATCCATTTTAATGTATATATTGGAAAAAACTGCCAAGCATGTTAACGGCGGGCCATAGCCGAGTGGTCTAAGCGTTGGCTTTCGGTACATCTTTTGTTGTACGCAAGAGTTCGAATCCCGTCTTCGACAAAAATGATAAATATTTTTAATTTTTCATTTTTTAGTCTATTTTTTTTCGGCATATAAAAGTATTAATGACTGCTTTAATATTCGAGAAATAGTTGTTTTCATACGCTCTCGGGAAGGTTAGAATTGGGCTATTCCCCTCGGCAAGCCTCGGGGAATAGCACAATTCTAACCTTCCCTTGAGCGTAATAAAACAACTATTTCTCTCAAAGCAGTCATTAATACTATACTATCACTGTCAAACGCTCTGGAAAGTCAAATGATATTCAAATCCTCTTTTTTAATACCAATATATAAAGCTTTTGAAGTTTTGATCCTCATTAATAACACAGCTACTGCTTTCCTCCGTATGATTTTTTTTGTTTCGGTCTGAGAATGCCAGAAACTGGATTCAAAGCCGGAGAAACATAATTTTGTACTTTATTCATAACGACTGAACTTAAATCCCGCCTGTACTAGTTTGGCCAGGAGGGATTAGACTACCCAGCAAGGTCACTGACAGGTGGCTCTCTCATCAACTCAGCTCTCAATTAACGTAAGAAAAAGAGGATCGTGGGGGACCAACAGGCACCGGTTAGGCATTTTTTGCCATATAGAGGGCGCAAGTAGATTAAGTAGTGCAGTGGGGCTTTAAAACTTTCAACTTTGACTCACCAAGCCAGCAGTGATCTCCTGGATTCGAGCAGCCGCCCTCTGGCCTGACTTGGGCCTGATGAGGAGGAAGACTTTCTTGATGTCTGGGCAGCATCTCATGAGCTTCTCCAGCATCACCTTGCCGATGAAGCCGGTGGCGCCGGTGATCATCAACGTCTTGCCGGCGTAGAATTCACCGATGGAGCAGTACGCCATGCTTGCGGGAAGATTATTCAACTTCTAAGAGAAGAAAGGAAGGAGAGACAAAAAAAAAGTGTTACATTCATCTATATTATTGCACGCATAAAAGTAGACTCTTCCATTTATAATGTAAACCACTGATTTATGGAATGCTTAGTGTTAAATAAAGTTCAACTTCTGAAGGAAGAAAGAAAGAAGAGACAAAAAGTCTTACAATTGTGGTTCATAGTAAATATGAAGAAAAAAGTAAAGGTGGACTATACATGTATGTAACTTTAATCTGTTTAAGTATGTCAACTGACTTACATGTACTGTACATGTATGGAGTGTCACATGTACCTGTAAATATGTATTCCGTACAATTCACTGTAATTCTGTATCAAAATGAATTTTAAAACATAAATCCAGTCTTTAAATGAAAATGGATTTCATGACATTGTTTTTGTTTACTTCATTAGATATTATGAAAATATGGTAATTTTATTGGATGACAATGTTGACACTTGGTGGTCCTTAAAACAATGGACTAACTCTTAACTTGGATGAAGTCAGTTTCTTTTTATGAATATCTGCCATTGAATTTAACCTACAGAATACAATTTGATTTTGCAGTGACATAGAAAACATTTCCAACAGACTCAAGTCAGAGCATTTTTTTTTTTTTTTTAATTCAACAAGTCACCGCCATTTGTCACTTGTTGGTGACTTGTAAATTGTAATTCTGTGACAATACTGCTAAACATGTTAACAGGAGCTGTTTGAGAATTTGCTACTGGTTAAAAAACAAAAACAAATCCTTTCAGAGTTTCAGGAAATGTCTTTGGTGCAGACATGATAAAGAGTTGGTTCAATCCAATAAGCCTGAAAAGGAACTACATGTAGTCCTATACAAGGCCCATACAATGTGAATTGTTACTTGCACTGGTTAAAAATACTGGTAATTGGTATCAAATTACAATACATACACATATTTATTTTGTTTGCATACAAGCTGATGACAGAGATTCATCAAGGCTATACTCTTTCACAGAGCACATCACTCAAAATAGAGGCGAGTTATTTCCTGGTACATTTCATTCAAGTATGTTTCATGGAAACCATCAACGTACTAATCTCTGCTAAATTGTGGATTGTGGAAGCATTTATTACATCTGGATATGAAAATGCAAGAACCTTTGAAATTATAAAGACTGCATTTGCTGTACATTGTATGCACAAATATATTTTGTGTGCACTGTTGTGTTGACACTCATAGATGTACTGTACTTGTACATGTACATTCCGTACAGTTAAATCAGTGCAGAACACATACTTGAAATACATGTAGAATACCAAGGATTTGTACTAATTTCTTTACAGATACCATCCGATTATATTAAAGTATAATTATAAAGCCCCAAAGTAGCGGTGAACGACTTATCAACCCTTCATGTTATCCAGCCCACTGGTGTGTACCATTATTACATGTACCATAGTACATGCGTACGTGTATCAAATAAAAGGACAAATGTGAAAACTATGAAAACTATAGCAATTTAAAGCCAGAATGATGCTAACTCTCACATAAATCAAACACAGACACACACATGTACATGTACATGTACATTACACATGGACAAGAATTACCGGTAGATGTTTTTGCCCAGATGTGTAATTGTGTATGTACTACATGTACATGTACATGTACCTGTATGCAAAAAGATACAGCCATTTTGCACCATCCATGTATATGTACAATACATGTTCACACCAATGACAAGCAACGTTCTGCACAATTTGTACAAAGAAAAAAAAAAGTTGAGTCTTCACACTGTGAGATACCATACCGCAAAATACTCCTAAGCCAGACAATTAATGCTCACCATAGCAAAAGCTTCGTCAGTGACATCTACGACACCGCCTGAACCCGAGGAATGCTCTCCATCAAGTGGGGCGCAGATAGGGCCGTTATCGTCAAAGCAAGGCATTGTGCCTGCGCTACTAGACTTTATACCCAGGAGACAATACCAAAGACAGAGTATGTCAAAGCTTCTATACTCGAGACTCTTGAGTTGTCAAAAGATGAAATTGTGTTGGCTAATTCAAGCTCAAACAAGATGGAATCGTTGTGTGAGATACAGTCTTTGAACAGTTGATAGGTATCCAGATTCGATTGACGAGATTGGTTAAAGACGTTAGCTTGATGAAGATGGAGTTAGTTTCTGACAAGATAGGATTTGGGGGTTCTATTTAAGCTCTTTCGGCATCCCCTATCTTGCCGCTGACCTGCTTTTGAGAAGCATTGATAAGATAAGTCTGTGTTTCCATGACAATTGGAAGCTTACAATTCTACTATCTGCCTGCAGTGATTTGCAGTCCAAATACTCTGTCCAAGGTACACCTTCCGTCATTGGTCATTATTTGCCGATGGACTTCCGGGCGTTTATCAAAGGCCAATCATGATGGTGGTTATTAAATGCTGATTCAGTTCTTTGAAATTCTTCAGATACAATATTTGATCAAGGGTGGAAATCTGCTTACCAAATTGTTTATGTAACTTATTACTTAAAGCTGTTTACTCTGTGGATTTTGCCTAAATAGAGTGCTTTGGAAGATTACAAAACTAACAAATGGACATCTAGAGATCTAAAATTAGCACAATTAGACTAAAATTAGCAACAGAGATTACTTTATCTGTTTTATTGGTTTTAAATTATAGATTCTTTGTTTACTAATTGGACCTTAAATAGCACCAAATACACTATTTTGGGATACAATTTGGCCCATTTGGCAAGGATACTACTTTATCTGTTTCATTGGTTTTAAATATGAGGTTTTTGTTTACTAATTGGTCCTTAAATAGCACCAAAAGAACTATTTTGGGATACGATTTGTCAAACACCTTGTTATAACAGAGCTTTACTTGATAATGATTCTAAATTGAGAATTAAATGTAAAATATCTGTCAGATAAGATACCAGTATCAATGACATAGGATGTTACACCATTCAAAACAGCTCTAACGTCAATCAATTCATTTAATTCAACTCTTATTTACATGTACACTGGACACATGTACGTCACGACTGGCCTTAAGAAAATATAAACACATGTATTAGCACACCGAACCAAATTCCTAAGAAACGTCCACAGATTCCAAGTTAAATCAACAGCCTACCTGTATTTTGCTCTATTCAAAGCGCTTGTCAGAAGAAAAACATGGGATATTTTGAATCATTCATATCTTAATCCCCTGTTTCCAGCTTAACCAACATCGCAAACTTTGGTGAGAGGTTAGAGATTTGAAATGTATATCGCGTGTTAGCTCATTATCATCAGGAACACATGCACATGGAAGGCAAGGAAAACATGGAAGGTAAGCAAATCGCTATGCCTACTCGGGCATCTTTTTTTTTCTTCTTTTTTTACCGATCTCATCACACGACACACGCAGTAGTTAATAAAAGAAAAATGGACAGATTAGCATGATAAGGTAAGTAATTAAAAGTAGAGTAAAGGAGGGGGTTTTCGGCCACTTATGACAAAATCCTATTTTTTGGACCCTTTACTTCTTATTTATTATCATTTCTTGTTCAAATTATGAAGCAAATATTATTATTATTTAAACAAAAAAAGAATCCCAGATAGAAATCACGAATTGCCATGACAATATTCATTTCAATTTTCACTGTTTCAGAGGCAGTTATTGGCATAGCGAACCAGTTTTCGGCCACATGTACAAAGTCAATAGGAAGCGCGCACGCGCGCGGTGCGTTTCCACGCTGATCTATAGCACTAGCGGGCGGAGCAGGTATAGTATAAGAAAATTTGATCCATTTTCTTTCCAATTACATTTTTTTTGTAAATCAAACTTTAAAAAGTCTAGATAGAACATTAGATGTCTACATGTATACGTCTATATGAAGAAAATCAGGGGCAGACTAGTCTATATGAAGAAAATCAGGGGCAGACCTTTTTTGTACAAAGAAGGTTGAAAAGTGTTTTAGTAGGGAGGCCAATGCCCAAATCTAACTTTTTAATTACTAATTTGTTTATACTAAAACTAAGATTAAAAGAAAGCATTTACTTTCACTAAGAAAATCCACCCATCTGCCGACTCCATAGGTTCCATCAAATAGGAGATATCCAGCTGGTTTGTAGCCATTTCCTTCTACGCCTTTCCGTACGTAAGAGCCTTGAAACAATTATATTTCATGTCGCAAAGTTACGTTCATAATTAGACAGGCCCGAGGGACAAAGTTCATGATGAAGTTTAAAACTTCGCGCGAAAGTGCAATCACTCAACAGCGGCTAGCCTTGAATCGGTCGCACACGTACACACCTTCTTCTTCTTAGTTGATCCCTCCACCGACACAGGCAAGCCCCGATGCAGGCTGAAGTCCAGCCATCAATGTGCGAACGATTACATCTTCTAAGTACTACTACGAGCCGAAGACGATGGTTCAAAAAAGGAAAGATTCTAATTCATTGATATTTACCTTAGATGTGTATTCCAATAATTTGATTTCCTCATGAGTATTCCTTATTATCAACGATCGAGAAGTTACGAGGTCCAATTAAAATCCATCTTGCAGCGAACACAATCATAGCGCACATCCATGCATGCAACGTACAGTGTACTAATATTTCTCTCACTCTCTCTCTCTCTCTCTCTCCCTTTCGCTATACGTAACATACACACTCACTAACCATGTATCATACAACACACACCTTCAAATCATGGCTTTCATTTCAATTCTCAATTGGAGTATAGACTGCTCACGTAGACTTTTTGTTTTACTGAAATATCTTTTTTAACACTTCTCATACATTACTGCACGACACTCGTATCTAGTGCTGTGAGAATAAGGTACTAGGGTCTATAAATAAGACTACGCTTTGCGCACGATCTGACCGGAGCTCAGATTATGTCGCAATACCCTTTATTTTTGGCGCGAACAATGACGTCACTGTTCACTGTTTTCCTTCTCATTTTGAGATGGATGTAGCTATAGGGCTCAAACCAACGCAAGATTGACAGAAACATCGTACTCTATCTACTTTCGAATGTTCAGTTTGTAAAAATCTGTATTTAAAAAGATATAATCTTTTTTCTTTATATTTTCTAGTTGTTAGAAGTGGCAATTGTGAACATCTGAAATGTTGATCTCTATCAAAAGTTCTTTACTCAAAACGGATCCCATATTTTTAGCGTCTACCTTCTGCCAATGAGAAGGTTTTTAGTGAGCAAACCTCTACGCCCTCTAGGATTTTCTTAGTCGGTGGTGCGAGTGCGTCAAGGTCGTCTGCAACCACAATTATTGGATTAAAAAACGTCAAAATCTGCAAGATTGTCAACAAATGGTGAAAGACTGTTACAGATCCGTGATTATAGGTATGTTGTGAAATGTATAATTGTATTTTCTTTTCATATTTTCTTCAATTTTTATTTTTACATCATTTTTTTCCCTTTGCTAATTTTTTGAAGTGGGCGACGAGCGCACAAATCGTAGGTGTAGATAGCCTTAAGGGCTCTCTCGAAATGTTTTTTTAATGATATTATTCGAGAGAGCCTTAAACGGCTCCCATACCCCTGCACGGAGAGGCATGTAAACAAAACTCAAAAGTGGTCCAAAATCACACTTTCGCGCACCCGACCAATATTGGACAGTGGCTTTGATAAATTTTGTCCGAGTTTTGGTCTTAATTAGCGCTTTAATTTCAAAATCAGATCTAAAAATAACAAAATAAGAGCAATTTTCTTACCAGACCGATACAGCTCAGCTCCCTTTTCACGTGTACCGTGTGAATTCACGATGTCTACACAATGGTGATGACCTCTGACTAGCACTTCGTAAATGTGCTGCTTCCGTATAATGCGCTGAATAACACTCATACAGCGCATTATACGGAAGCAGCACAATTTACCCACAATTACGGAAGTGCCAGTCAGAGGTCATCACCATTGTGTAGACATCGTGAATTCACACGGTACACGTGAAAAGGGAGCTAAGCTGTATCGGTCTGGTAAGAAAATTGCTCTTATTTTGTTATTTTTAGATCCGATTTTGAAATTAAAGCGCTAATTAAGACCAAAACTCGGACAAAATTTATCAAAGCCACTGTCCAATATTGGTCGGGTGCGCGAAAGTGTGATTTTGGACCACTTTTGAGTTTTGTTTACATGCCTCTCCGTGCAGGGGTATGGGAGCCGTTTAAGGCTCTCTCGAATAATATCATTAAAAAAACATTTCGAGAGAGCCCTTAAGGCTAGGTGTAGAAGCCTTACGCCCGGGCATTGGCCTCCCTAGTTTTAGTCTTAGATCTAGGTCGATCTAGGAGTAGGACAGGTCTATGATTAAAACAATTACCCATACAACAGGCGGTTATTTATGTCTAGCTAAACCCAGGCCTGATTCCAGTCGGACACCACTCTGTAATTCTGTTGCTGAAAAAGCATTTCCTTATATCAATATCATGTTTCAGATGTTTTAGACAAGACCCTTCCTTGGCTTGAAAATCTTTAGAGAGTGTCCTCATGTCCGAGTAGGCCTACTGAGACTAGAGAGTGATAAGCAGGGATAAGGTCTGTGTTTTTTGCAAACATGGCTCTCCAAACAGCTACAGGCATGGCAAATACTAGACCAGCTGATGGTCGTTTTAATCTTTCGCCCTTTCCCAAATGCGCGCGCGTGTATGAAATGCGTACTCCCCACCAATTCACCTTCCCCGAAAAAAAACGACCAGCTAATCTCGGCAGCGAGGTCCGAATATAATGAGCAGCGACCCCATGACCCCGCTTCCCAAATAAGGATCCTCTCATGAATGATGCATGTTTCGTTCCGATCAGCTGGCCTTGCATGCTCAGCTGACCGGCCTGTGTGTATCAACGAACTCAAACCAATTTACTTGGATTTCGATGGTGTGTATGCGTGCTTGGGAGCCCTGGGAGCGCTGGGTGTGTGTTGGTGAATGTGAAATGTGCAATGCTATTTGTTATATGCGTGCAGCACATGCACTATTGTCCCAATGTATTAAGCATGCATACATCGTATTGGATAAAAGTTGACTAGCAATTGAAACTGAGTTTGCCAATAATTCATTCATTCAAAATGGTTCATTTCAAATAAAACTTTCATCGCGGCGTTTAGCCGAATTACAAAAGTTTACAAACAAAATTAATAACACTTTAGATAACATAGAACATAGCATAACATGATATATTGAATTTGTAAAATAAATCAGTATAAATACGAGAAATATAGCTTATTGCAACAAATGGAAACATAAATTAGAAAGAAATCTGAATTAAATAGCACTGAAATCATGTGAAAGAAGGACTAAAGTAATTAGCAATGAGACCTGTTAGGTGGTGTATGATTTGTGATACTGCCCTAGTTACCTGCAAACACTACATTAATATAAATTCTACGAAAACTTCAAGGAGTGGCTTGCAGAAGAGTTTTAAAGACATATTTGGTGAATTTTCCACAAACAAATCGCAGCATGTATGCGACAAATGTGTGAAGAAAGTTATAAATGTACACTCCATGAGAAGTCAACAAGTCGAACTAAATATCTACGAACGGACACTCAGGCGCGTAGCCAGGGGGGGGGGCGGTGGGGGCGGTCGCCCCCCCCCCCCCCAAAAAAAAAAACGCCGGCCAAAAAAAAAAAAAAAGAGAGAAAGAGAAGGAAAAAAAGAAAGAGGACGTAGGAAGAAAAAGGGAAAAGGAGTCGAGAACGGTACAATGAATCGTCAAAGCTTCCGCGCTTCGCGCGGGAAGGGGGAAACTGAGTTCAAATTAAGAAATATGAGTCGGGAAAGGTACAACAAATCGTCTTCTTTCTCTAATAATTTAATGAAACGTCAAAGCCTCGGGCGAGAGGGGGGGGGGGAAAGAATTCAGACAAGGATTAAGAGTCGAGAAAGGTACAACGAATCGTCTTCTTTCTCTAATAATTTAATGAAACGTCAAAGCTTCGCGTGAGAGAGGGGAGGGACTGAATACAGATAAGGATTAAGAGTCGAGAGAGGTACAACGAATCGTCTTCTTTCTCTAATAATTTAATGAAACGTCAAAGCTTCAGAGAGGGGGGGGGGGGGAACAGAATTCAGACAAGGATTAAGAGTCGAGAAAGGTACAACGAATCGTCTTCTTTCTCTAATAATTTAATGAAACGTCAAAGCTTCGCGTGAGAGAGGGGAGGGACTGAATACAGATAAGGATTAAGAGTCGAGAGAGGTACAACGAATCGTCTTCTTTCTCTAATAATTTAATGAAACGTCAAAGCTTCAGAGAGGGGGGGGGGGGAACAGAATTCAGACAAGGATTAAGAGTCGATAAAGGTACAACGAATCGTCTTCTTTCTCTA